GGTTAATGTATAATGCAAATACACATTGCATATGAGGGAAGGAGGAGGCCCAAATGGACAGAGAGAGATTTTGTGTTTACATTTTCTTGTTCCACTGCAAAAGTGAATTTTATTTCATCAATGTAATCCAATTTATCCATTTTTTTCTTTTGTTGCCTGTGTCTTTTAAGAAATCATTGCCAAAACCTTTGACAAAAAGCTTTTTCACTATGTTTTCTTCTTAGAGTTTTATAGGTTAGGTCTTTGATCCATTTTGAGTTAATTTTTGCATAGGGTGTAAGGGAAGATACTTCACACTTTTGCATGTGGATATCCTATTTTGCCAGTACCCTTTGTTGAAAAGATTGTCCTTTCCCCAATGAATGCTCTTGGCACCCTTGTTGAAAATAATTTGACTATATATGCAAGGGTTCCTTTATGGACCATCTATTCTATTCCCCCATTCCTTTTTATGAATGAATAATATTCCATTATATCTGACAAAATGATTCCATTCCATCTAACAAAATGTGGTCCACTGGAGAAGGGAATGGCAAACCACTTCAGTATTCTTGCCTTGAGAACCCCATGACAGTATGAAAATGCAAAAAGATAGGACACTGGAAGATGAGCTCCCTAGGTCGGTAGGTGCCCAATATGCTACTGGAGATCAGTGGAGAAATAACTCCAGAAAGAATGAAGAGATGGAGCCAAAGCAAAAACAACACCCAGTTGTGGATGGGACTGGTGATGGAAATAAAGTCCAATGCTGTAAAGAGCAATATTGCATAGGAACCTGGACTGTTAGGTCCATAAATCAAGGCAAATTGGAAGTGGTTAAACAGGACATGGCAAGAGTGAATGTCGACATTTCAGGAATCAGCGAACTAAGATGGACTGGAATTTAACTCAGATGACCATTATATCTACTACTGGGCAGGAATCCCTTAGAAGAAATGGAGTTGCCATCATAGTCAACAAGAGTCTGAAATGCAGTACTTGGATGCAGTCTCAAAAACGACAGAATGATCTCTGTTCGTTTCCAAGGCAAACCATTTAATATCACAGTAATCCAAGTCTATGCCCCAACCAGGAACGCTGAAGAAGCTGAAGCTGAACGGTTCTATGAAGACCTACAAGACCTTCTAGAACTAATACCCCAAAAAGATGTCTTTTTCATTATAGGGGACTGGAATGCAAAAGCAAGAAGTCAAGAAATACCTGTTGTAACAGGCAAATTTAGTGTTGGAGTACAGAATGAAGCAGGGCAAAGGCTAATAGAGTTTTGCCAAGAGAATGCACTGGTCATAGCAAACACCCTCTTCCAACAATACAAGAGAAGACTCTACACTTGACATCACCAGATGGTCAATACCAAAATAAGATTAATTTTATTCTTTGAAGCCAAAGATGGAGAAGCTCTATACAGTTAGCAAAAACAAGACCGGGAGCTGGCTGTGGCTCAGATCATGAACTCCTTATTGCCAAATTCAGACTCAAATTGAAAAAAGTAGGGAAAACCACTAGACCATTCAGGTATGACCTAAATCAAACCCCTTATGATTATACAGTGAAAGTGAGAGATAGATTCAAGGGATTAGATCTGATAGAGAGAATTCCTGAACAACTATGGATGGAGGTTTGTGACATTGTGCAAGAGGCAGTGATCAAGACCATCTCCAAGAAAAGGAAATGCAAAAAAGGCAAAATGGTTGTCTGAGGAGGCCTTACAAATAGCTGTGAAAAGAAGGAAAGTGAAAAGCAAAGGAGAAAAGGAAAGATATACCCATTTGAATGCAGAGTTCCAAAGAATAGCAAGGAGAGATAAGAAAGCCTTCCTCAGTGATCAGTGCAAAGAAATAGAGGAAAATGATAGAATGCGAAAGACTAGAGATCTCTTCCAGAAAATTAGAGATACCAAGGGAACATTTCATGCAAAGATGGGCACAATAAACGACAGAAATCGTAGGGACCTAACAGAAGCAGAAGATATTAAGAAGAGGTGGCAAGAATACACAGAAGAACTGTACAGAAAAGATCTTCACAACCCAGATAATCATGATGGTGTGATCACTCATCTAGAGCCAGACATCCTGGAATGTGAAGTCAAGTGGGCCTTAGGAAGCATCACTACGAGCAAAGCTAGTGGAGGTGATGGAATTCCAGTTGAGCTATTTCAAATCCTGAAAGATGATGCTGTGAAAGTGCCTGCACTCAATATGTCAACAAATTTGGAAAACTCAGCAGTGGCCACAAGACTGGAAAAGGTCAGTTTTCATTCCAATCCCAAAGAAAGACAATGCCAAAGAATGCTCAAACTACTGAACAATTGCACTCATCTTACATGCTAGTAAAGTGATGCTCGAAATTCTCCAAGTCAGGCTTCAACAGTACATGAATGATGAACTTCCAGAAGTTCAAGCTGGATTTAGAAAAGGCAGAGGAACCAGAGATCAAATTGCCAACATCTGTTGGATCATCAAAAAAGCAAGAGAGTTCCAGAAAAGCATTCTGCTTTATTGACTATGCTAAAGCCTTTGACTGTGTGGATCACAACAAACTGTGGAAACTTCTTAAAGAGATGTGAATACCAGACCACCTGACCTGCCTCTTAAGAAATCTGTATGCAGGTCAGGAAGCAACAGTTAGAATTGGACATGGAACAACAGACTGGTTCCAAATAGGAAGAGGAGTACGTCAAGGCTGTATATTGTTACCCTGCTTATTTAACCTGTATGCAGAGTACATCATGAGAAACACTGGGCTGAATGAGGCACAAGCTAGAATCAAGATTGCCAGGAGAGATATCAATAACCTCAGATATGCAGATGATACCACCCTTATGGCAGAAAGCAAAGAGCCTCTTGATGAAAGTGAAAGAGGAGATTGAAAAAGTTGTCTTAAAACTCAACATTCAGAAAACTAAGATCATGGCATCTTGTCCCATCACTTCATGGCAAATAGATGGGGAAACAGTGGAAACAGTGGCAGACTTTATTTTTGGGGGCTCCAAAATCACTGCAGATGGTGATTGCAGCCATGAAGTTAAAAGATGCTTGCTCCTTGGAAGAAAAACTATGACCAACCTAGACAGCATATAAAAAAGCAGAGACATTACTTTGCCAGCAAAGGTCCATCTAGGTAAAGCTATGTTTTTTCCAGTGGTCATGTATGGATGTGAGAGCTGGACTATAAAGAAAGCTGAGCACCAAAGAATTGATGCTTTTCAACTGTGGTGTTGGAGGACTTCCCTGGTGGTCCAGTGGTTTAGACTCAGTGCTTACCATGCAGGGGGCACAGGTTCAATCCCTGGCTGGGGAACTAAGATCCCACATGCCACGTGATGTGGCAAAAAAAAAAAAACTAAAACAGAATCACACTGAACTGTGGTATTGGAGAAGACTCTTGAGTGTCCCTTGGACAGCAAGGGGATCCAACCAGTCCATCCTAAAGGGAATCAGTCGAATATTCATTGGAAGGACCGATGCTGAAGCTGAAACTCCAGTACTTTGGCCACCTAATTTGAAGAAGTGACTCATTTGGAAAGACCCGGATGCTGGGAAAGAATGAAGGTAGGAGGAGAAGGGGACGACAGAGGATGAAATGGTTGGGTGGCATCACCAACTCAATGGACATGAGTTTGAGTAAACTTGGGGAGTTTGTGATGGACAGAAGGCAATGGCAACCCACTCCAGTACTCTTGCCTGGAAAATTCCATGGACTGAGGAGCCTGGTGGGCTGCTGCTATGGGGTCGCACAGAGTCAGACATGAGTGAAGCGACTTACTAGCAGCAGCAGTAGGGAGGCCTGGTGTGCTGCAGTCCATGGGTTCGCAAAGAGTTGGACACGGCTGAGCAACTGAACTGAACTGACTGAACATGCCATTGTAAGAATATACTTATTTTACTTATGGTAAGCCTAATAGTTTATCTACCTATTTAATCACAGGGTGTTGTCAGATCTGTGATTAATGGATTACTGAACCCTTGTCCAGGGGCTTACTTTAAGCATGAGACTATTGTACCATCTGAAAATAGTATGTATTTTGATTGTTTTCTTGTCCACAAGCTTATTGTTTGTTGGAGGAAAGAATGCAGGATACCCGATAGCATTTTCGAGCATTTCCTATGTGCTTTTTTGTCACACACTTTGTCTCAAGATCACGTATATTCCTCACAGCAACCCTACTCCGTTGGTACCGTTTTTCACACAGTAGTAAAGTGAGGTTCTGGAGGAGTTAAGTAACTCTCCAAGGCCACACGCTGGATAAGTGGAGGATCCCAGGAGAGGGCCAGGTTCACAGCGCAGGGAAATCTCCAGTTTACTGAGGATCAGATGCTTCAGGTCCCGGTGACAATGGGCCTGAAAGCTCTACGCAATCCAGATCTCCAGACTTCCTGGAGCTGCCACCTACTGCTGTTTTCCCGCTACGCCGCAGAAAATACTCTCAGAGACCGATTCTGCCTCCACATACCATGCAAATTCTATGGCTGGAAGGCCCAAGTTCACCAAGGGAAAAGCTGAGTGCTTTTCAGCCTCTTTCCCAGGCTGCGGTGGAAACCCCGCCCCCGTCTCCGTGGAAACCCAGCTTCTGCGGTCGCTGTTACCAAGGGGCGGAGCTGGGGGGCGCTGCCCTTCCCCCGGTCTGCAGCGGCTCTGGGGCTGGGAGCGGTTACAGTCACCCCTTAACCTCTCTGTTCCTCTTCTCTCCTGCCCTCCCTTCCTCTTGTCCTTTCGTGTCCCGAACCGTATCCTGGGGCCCGCACTCCTGCACGGACTTCGGCGTGGACGGCGCACCGGGAGTGTGGGCCTGCGAGCCGTCCTGCGTGGCCTCCACCGACGCCCCCACCTCCCGGGCCCACCCCTCGGCGGCGCTGATTGGCCGCTTCTGGGCCACATTCCCCCGCCCCCTGGCCCGGCAGGGTCCTCGGCCCAGCGGAAAGTTTTCTTTGCCGGGAGGAAGTTGGACGTTCGCAGACTGCGAGAAAGCAGCTCCGGAGGCAGTAGGGGTCTGGGCCGCCATGGAGGATCCCCCTTTGAGAGAGGAAGAGGAGGAAGAGGAGGAAGACGAGGCGGGCCCCGAAGGGGCTCTGGGCAAGAGCCCCTTGCAGCTGACCTCTGAGGACGTATATGACATCTCGTACGTGATGGGCCGTGAGCTGATGGCCCTGGGCAGTGACCCCCGGGTGACGCAACTGCAGTTCAAGATCGTCCGCGTCCTGGAGATGCTGGAGACGCTGGTGAATGAGGGCAACCTGACAGTGGAGGAGCTAAGAATGGAGCGGGACAACCTCAGGAAGGAGGTGGAGGGGCTGCGGAGAGAGGGCTCGGCTTCCAGCCCGGAGGTGAGTGCTGGAGAACGGGGACCTGCCCCGGTGGCAGGGTGCAGGGAGCGCCCAGTGGGAGGGGGGCCGCTTACCTCTCTTGAACATCCAAGCCCCTCAAAACAAATCCCCACGAGTATCAAGTCCTCAGTTTAGAAGTGTTGTGTGTGCTCAGTTGCTCAGTCTTGTCCGACTCTTTTCGACCCCGTGGACTGTAGCCCACCAGGCTCCTCTGTCCATGGGATTTTCCCAGGCAAGAATCCTGGAATGGGTTGCCATGCCCTCCTCCAGGGAATCTTCCTGATCCAGGGATCGAACCTGAATCTCTTGTGTCTCCTGCATTGGCAGGTGGATTCTTTACCACTGCTCCTGGGAAGCCCAGAAGCTTTATGATAGGTAACATTAACTGAGCACTGACTAGGTGCTGGGCCATGCACTGAGCATGTTCTAAAGCAGAGGCTTCCTGCTGAGAGAGGGAAGGGCAGAGTCTTAACCACTGGACCACCAGGGAAGTCCATCTTTACTTGCAGAAGACAGGTTGATGGGGACCTTGAGCAGTGGTTCTCAAGCTTTACTGTGTTACTCACTCAGTCATGACCGACTCTTTGCGACCCCATGGACTGTAGCCGGCCAGGCTCCTCTGTCCATGGGATTCTCCAGGCAAGAATACTGGAGTGGGTTGCCATTTCCTTCTCCAGGGGATCTTCCCCACCCAGGAATAGAACCCAGGCCTCCTGCATTGCAGGCTGATTCAGTACCATCTGAGCCATCAGGGAAGCAGGCATTTCAAGGTTGCAGTTCAGTCAGTCAGTTCAGTCGCTCGGTCGTGTCCAACTCTTTGCGACCCCATGAATCACAGCACACCAGGCCTCCCTGTCCATTACCAACTCCTGGAGTTTACTCAAACTCATGCCCATCGAGTCGGTGATGCCGTCCAGCCATCTCATCCTCTGTCGTCCCCTGCTCCTCCTTCCCCCAGTCCCTCCCAGCATCAGGGTCTCTTCCAATGAGTCAACTCTTTGCATGAGGTGGCCAAAGTATTGGAGTTTCAGCTTCAGAGTCAGTCCTTCCAATTAATACCTGGGACTGATCTCCTTTAGGATGGACTGGTTGGATCTCCTTGCAGTCCAAGGGACTCTCAAGAATCTTCTCCAACATCACAGTTCAAAAGCATCAATTTTTCGGCACTCAGTTTTCTTCACAGCTTTATCAGGCATCAAAATCGCCTTGAATGATTAAAACACAGATTGGCTGGCCCTAGCCCCAGAGTTTCCGACTCAGTAGGTCTGCAGTGGGACCTAGAATCTACAACTTTTCACAGGTTCCAAGATGATACAGGTGCTCTCGGTCCAGGTTTCACGATTTGAGAATCTTTGATGTGGAGTAAGAAATACATTTTAACTATAGAGAAATTACTGCTTATGATCACAGAAAAATATGTACAAGAATATCCAGGGCAGTTTTATTCATAATTGTGTCAAACTGGGAAACAATCCAGATGGAACAGAGGAATGGATTTTTTACCTTGTGGTATGGAATACTACACAACAATGAGAAAGTACTGAAACACACAACTATATGGATGAACCTCACAGCTATTACATTGAGAGGTAGAAGCCAGGTACAAAAGAGAGCCTCCTGTATGTAGAATTCAAGAATAGGCAAGCTAATCTTTATATATATATACACACACATACACACATGGGTATACACATATGGTAAAAATCATCAAGCTATAAATTCAAGATTAGTGCATATTTCTGTATATATGTTATACCCCCATTTTACAAAATTACATTTTGCATCAGTATCCAGAACTGATGAAACCAAAAGTTTCAAGAAACAATTTATCCTGACTCACCCTTACTAAATATGATATATAGTCATACTTTCCAATTCTATTTTTATGAATTTTTAAATTATTGTGCAACTCACTAAATTAATATCACAACTGTCTAGTGGGTCTCCAGTTACATTAAAAAAAACCTTCCCCAAGTGAATTATCTCATTTAATCCTCATACTATTATTATTCCCATTTTATAGAAGCGGAGACATAGAACAATTAAGCAATCTGCCGAGGACTTATAGCAAGTAAGAGATGGAGGCAGGATTTTAGTTCAGAGATGCTAGTCTGTTTTTTTTTTTTCCTGCTGTACTGGGTCTTCATTGCTTCTTGAGGGCTTTCTCTATTTCCAGGGAGCAGGTATTACTCTCTAGTTGCAGTGCATAGGCTTCTCATTGTGGCAGCTTCTTCTTTTTTTTTTTTTTTTGCCAACAATGTGTGGCAGCTTCTCATTGTGGTGGCTTCTCCCATTGGGGAGCACAGACTTAGTTGCCCCAGAGCATCTGGAATCTTCCCAGACCAGGGATCAAACCCATGTCTCCTGCATTGGCAGGCAGATTCTTGTCTACTGCGCCATCAGGGAAGTCTTCAGAGATGCTAGTCTTTTTTTTTTCCAGAGATACTAGTCTTAACCACACAGCACTGAAGTACAGACCTATGACTTTACTTGTGGTAACATTTGATGAGTGACTACACTGTGAGGGCCCTGGAGTTATGGAGCTAAATTAGACAAGGTCCCTGACTTCATGGAACCTCACAACTAATGGGAGAAGCAAGACACACAGACCTTCAAAACCAGCCCACAGGATTACAGACCGAGAAGTGTGCCATGAAAGGAAAACAGGAACAGGGTGGCTGAAATTCACAGGGAAGAGTGAAGATTTCTGGTAGCTTTGTTGGTACACTTTTACTTCACCTACTCAGTCACAATGACAATTCTATTTGTAGATAAGATTCTTCTTTAGAATCTGTCATATGAGATGGTTGAATATCATGATTAGTAGCCTGACTTTTGAGATTCAAGAGCAGTTAAATGACTTGCCCAAGATCCCTCAGCTCACATTTTGCACTTGTTTCCTGTCATCTCCAGCTCCAGGCACAAAGATAGACCCACGATGGATCATGAATAGTGTGGTCTGCACGGGGGCCGGGCCATTTCCTGCCTGGGGCGTAGCAGACAAGCTTCATTAGCCCCAGATGAGATAGCACATTTTCCTCCCAGATCATAGTCTTGAGAACAAGTGTGGGGGAAAAGGCAGAGAGAATGAATATTTAATGCCGCTAGACAGTTTGTAAAAATATGCCCTTGTCTTTTTTTTTCTTCTTGTTTTCTTAATTACTGTTTTTAGCTGTGGTAAAGTAGAGGTGAAATTTACCATCTTAATCATTTTTCAGTACAGAGTTCAGTGGCATTCAGTCAATTCACACTATTATGCAACATCACCACCATCCTCTCCAAAATGCCCATCTTGCGAAACTGAAATTCAGTGCCCACTAACCACTAACTCCAAATTTCCCTTCTCCCCCGAGCCTCTGGTAACTCTGTTCTGCTTTCTGCCTATATGAATTTCCATATTCTAGGCACTTCATATAAGTAAAATCAGATGATTTTTGTTCTTTTGCCACTGACTTATTTCATTTCATGTCCCAAGGTTCCTCCATGTTGTGGCATGTGTCAGAATTTCCTTCCTTTTTAAAGCTGTATAATATTCCATTGTAGGGATCCACCGGTTTGTTTATCCATCTGTCAATGGACACGTGGGTTGCTTCCACCTCATGATCTGTATAAATATTGTTTCTCTGAACATGGATTTATGAATCAATCTTTAAGCACCTGCTTTCAAGACTTCTGGGAACTGCTGTATCATGTGATAATTCTGTTGGTAATTTCTAAAGGATTGGCCATTTGGTTTTACATAGGGACTGCACCATTTTACATTCTATCTACTGTGCCCCAAAATTCCAGTTTTCCCACATTCTTACCAAAACTTGTTTGTCTTTTTTGTTTTTGTTTTTTTCTGGCCACACCATATGCCATGTGGGATATTCCTTGTGAAGTGAAGTGAAGTGGAAGCCACTCAGTTGTGTACGACCCTTTGTGACCCCATGGACTATACAGTGCATGGAATTCTCCAGGCCAGAAAACTGGAGTGGGTAGCCTTTCCCTTCTCCAGGGGATCTTCCCAACCCAGGGATTGAACCGAGGTCTCCAGCACTGCAGGCAGATTCTTTACCAACCGAGCCACAAGGGGATCAAACCCATGTCCCCTGCAGTGAAAGCACAGAGTCTTAACCACTGGACCATCAGGGAAGTCCTGCCAACACTTGTTATTTTATATTTTGTTTGTTTGATTACAGTAGCCATCCCAATAGGTGTGAGATTTTTTTTCCTTTGTCTTTTTAAAATTTATGTTCAAAATTCAAAAGTTACAAAAGTATTTGCCTTGGAAAAGCTCTCACATCCCCTCCTTGGAAAAAATTTAAGCAATCAGTTTCTAAAGTATCCAGAGATACTTCATGCAAACAAAAGCAGGTATGAATATAGTTTTCTGTTATTCACACAGAGAGTATGATAATATATACCCTGTTCTGCCCCTTGCTTATTTTCACTTAATATGGCATGAAAGTGGTACTAAATCAGAATATAAAGAACTTCCTCATCTTTTTTAAAAAATGTATTTATTTATTTATTGGCTGTATCAGCTCTTAGTTGCATGCAGGATTTTTAGTTAATATTACTGGCCTAGTTACCTGACCAGAGATCAAACCTGGGTCCCCTGCATTGGGAGCTGTCTTAGCCACTGGGTCACCAGCAAAATCTCTATTTCCTCATCTGTTAATGGCTTTTGGAAACTTCCATTGTACAGTAATATCAACTGTTCAACCTGAGGGTTCCCAGCTTGGAGTTTTTGGGACCCCACTCCCCCCTGTTCCCCAAGATTATGAATCTGATCCAGAAGATCCATGAACTTGCATGGGAAGCAATTATATTTTTATTTTCACCAGCCTCCAGATGAAATGTACCACTTTATTCAATCATGAATGCATTCATTTTGGTGTTTGGTAGAAATTAACACAATACTGTAAAGCAATTAGCCTTTGATTTAAAATAAATAAATTAAAAAAAATCATGAATGTAGAAAACAAACCACAATAATATTATCAGTAGTACCTGTGACAATCATCAGTGGCAATCACAGGTGTTTTCATATCCCATTACAATGTAGTACATATCTCAAAACTTTGTTTTTGTTCTCTATCTTATTGGACCTGTGGCTACATCATGTTTAATGAAGGAGCAGGTCTCGGGATCACATATTTATTTTTAGATTTTGATGAGTGTATATTATCTTAGTTGGTTTCCTTGTAATCCTATGCCTTTTGTTTTATACATTTAAAATCATTCTGAGATGGAATCTACATGGGCTTTACCAGACTGCCAAAAAAGGTCTATAGAACACAGAAATGTTAAGAATCTCAGCTTTAACCAGCTTCCTATAAAAAGACCTTTGTTTTCCAATCATTTGCTCTGAGCCAGAGCCTCAGTGGATTACTCTGATCTGTACCAGTTGGCGCCTGAGTATGTAGAGGAAGTGGACTCACTGGGTCAAAGGAAAGGCATTTGATGTTTTAATGTGTATACGTGCTAAGTCACTTCAGTTGTATCCGACTCTTTGCAATTGGACTGTATCCCACCAGGCTCCTCTGTCCATGGGATTCTCCAGGCAAGAATATTGGAGTGGGTTGCCATTCCCCTTCTCCAGGGGATCTTCCCGACCCAGGGATGGAACCTGGGTCTCCCGCATGGCAGGCAGATTCTTTACCGTCTGAGCCACCAGAGAAGCCCAGTGCCACCAGGAACTGTTGCCAAATTGCACTCTAAAGGGGATAAAGTGGTTGGCTCCCTTTGCAGTCAGCAAAGGAGCCAGTTTCCCCACAGCTTTTACAACAGTGTTTTCTCAAACACCACTGATACCTTTCGGTCCAAGAGGAGGAGTGTGGACACTACTGCCTTTCTCTTTGCGGTGTGCCTTATTCTCTTTCTCACCTGTAGAGTATTCCAGAGTGTGGTTGTGCCTCCGTTTATTTAACTAGACTTCTGCTAATGGACATTTAGGTTGTTTTCAAATATTTGCTTTATTTTAACTTCAGTTTGAAAAAATGTCAAACCTATGGAAGAGTTGCAAGACAAGTGCAATGAACTCTTGTATACCTTTCACCCTGATTCAGTTGTTGTATTCAGGTGTGCGTATATGTGTGTTTGTGTGTGTGTGTAGTGTGTCTTAAGAAATACACACTGGGGACTTCCCTGGTGGTCCAGTGGTTAAGAGCCTGCCTGCTAATGCAGGGCATGTGGGTTTGATCCCTGGTCTGGGAAGATTCCACATGCTGCGGGGCAGCTAAGCCCATGCACCGCAACTACTGAAGCCTAGAGCCCGTGCTCCACAGCAAGAAAAGCCACCACAATGAGAAGCCCGAGCACTGCAACTAGGGAGCAGCTCCCACTTGCAAAACTAGGGAAGGCCCGTGCAGAGCAACAAAGACCAGCACAGCCAAAAATAAAATAAATAGAATTATTTTTAGAAGAACAGAAATAGACACTGAAACTTCCCTGCTTCCACTGCAGGGGGTGTGGGTTCAGTCCCTGGTAGGGAAACTAAGAGCCTGCTTGCCGCAAAGTCCAGCCAAAAAAAAAGATATACAGACTGAAGTATTTATAGACACCCATATACACATATGTATATACACATTATTTACTCATTCAAAGTCTGCCCAGCTATTTGAGCAGACATTATGGTAGCTGCAGAGTTCGTAAAAGATTAGGATCTTTCAAAAAAAAAAAAAGATTAGGATCTTTCACCCTAAATACTAAATACTTCAGTGTGTATCTCCTAGACATACTGTTACATAACCACAATAAATGATCAAATTCAGGGGGGAAAGATGGTAGAATACTAAGATCTAAATGCCATCCCTATTCAAAATTCATAATAATGACCTTTATAGCACTTTTTTTCTGATGTAGAATCTAGTATAGAGTTGTACAGTATCTTTAGGAAATCCCTCTCTCTCTTTTTTTTTTTTTGGGGCCACACCTTGAAGCGTGTGGAATCTTAAATTCCCCAGCCAGGGATCGAACCCTCACCCCCTGTAGTGGGAGCTTGGAGTCTTAACCACTGGACCACCCAGGGAAGTAGGATGCCTCTCTTTAGTCACCTTCAGTCTGGAGCAGTTCCTCAGCTTTCCCTTCTCTTTCATGACATTGACAGTTTTGAATATATTATGTATCAGGCTCTGTAGAATGTCCTTCAACTTGAGCTTGTTCTGGTGTCTCCTCACGGTTGGATTCAAGTAATACATGTTTGGCAGAGTTTTCACTCAAGCAATGCTGTATCCTTCTCAGTGTCTCGTATCAGGAGGTGCCTGATTCAGTCTGTCATTACTGGTGATGTTTGGTGATGTTAACTTCAGCCCTTGGATACAGTGTTGTCCACAAAATTTCTGCACTGGAAGGGTGCTTTTATGCCCTTTGTAATGTGCAAGTAGCCTATGGGAAAATACTTTGAAACTGTGTAAAATATCCTGTTCTCTGACAAATTTTCACCCGATGGTTTTAAATCTATTCATTAGCCTTGCCTGAATCAATTATTACTAAATTGGTTGCAAAAGGATTTCCTAACTCTTACCATCTTCTACACATTAATTGGCATTCCAGGGATCTCCTCGGTGGTCCAGTGGTTGACTGTGCTCCCAATGCCTGTGTCTGGGGTTTGATCCCTGGCCAGGGAAGTAGATCCCCCATGCTGATCCCGCATGCTCCAACTCTTAGTTCGCTTGCTGCAGCGGAGAGTTCGCATGCTACGACTATAAGATCCTGCCTGATACAGGAAAGATCAAAGATCCCCTGTGCCTCACCTAAGATCTGGTGCAGTCAAATAAAGAAATAAATATTAATTGGCATTCTGCTGTAAAGTACAGATTCCCTTCCTCCCAGTGTATTAGTCAGAGAAATAGAACAATAGGAGATATAGATGTAGCTCTAGATATAGATGAGAATATTCATCATAGGAATCAGCTCAGGTGGTTATGGAGGCTGAGAAGTTCCACAATCTGATGCTTGCAAGCTGTAAAACCAATAAAGCTGGTATTGTAATTCAGTCCAAGTTGGAAGGCTTGTCTCAGCGGCTGATGGTAAAAGTCCTGGTTTGGGACAGTTCAAAATCCCAAGAACTAGGAACATTGATGTGCAGTGCTCAAGGGCAGGAGAAGAAGGATGTCCCAGCTCAGCAGGGAGTGAATTCTCCCTCTCTCCACCTTTTTGTTCTGTTTGGGCCTTTAATGATGCCCACCCACACTGGGGAGATCCCTCTGCTGTACTTAGGTCACCAAATCAAATGCTAATCTCTTCCAAAACGCACCTTCACACACACCTCAAAATAATGGGCTAACCAACTATCTGGGTATTCCTTAGCCCAGTCAGGTTGACATATAAAATTAGCTATTAGATCCCCATTAATTAGTTAATTAATTTAAATAAAAAATTATAGATTCCTGAATCCTCTTTTTATTTGATGACTTATTATCCATTCTTGTTATTATTCATGTTGTTACTCAGATTGTTCAGTTTGGCCAGTAGGAACACCTTCGAACTATGTCCTTTTGATCTGTCTCCATCCCTTATACAACGGAATATTCCAGACTCAACTTGGACTTCCCCTGCTCCAGCCCTAGATTCGGCCCCTCTCCAAGGAGCCCTGGCTCCTTTCTTGGAGAATAGTCCTTAGAACTCTTACTTCTTCTTCTTTTAAAATTTTTTAAAGAGGATCTTAGTTCCCCAACCACGGATCACACCAGGGCCCAGAGTCCTAACGAAAGCACAGAGTCCTAACCACTGGACTGTCAGGGGATCCCCAGAACTCTTTACATCCACCAAACACCTGCAGCAGGCAATGCCTCCCCTCATCAGGCCCCTGGGAGTAACAGAACAAGAGAACTTCCCTTTCTGGGGTGGAAAGTCCATCCTCATGTGGGAAAATGTACAAGCGATGTCCTTTCTTACAGGTGGACCTGGGACCAGACAAAATGGTGGTTGACCTGTCGGATCCCAACCGGCCACGCTTTACTCTGCAGGAGCTGAGGGACGTGCTTCAGGAGCGCAACAAGCTGAAGTCGCAGCTGCTGGCGGTGCAGGAAGAGCTGCAGTGCTATAAGAGGTGGGCTCTGCTGCCCTGGGGCGCCTGCTCTGCAGGCCCAGGCCCTGTCTGGGACTCCTTGACATGTTACCTATCTGTTCTGGTGTTCGTTCAGTCAACTTACTGGAGACCCACTCTATGCGGGAAACTACTCCCGGCACTGAGGGTAGAGCAGGGAGCAAATATGGAGTCCATGCTAGTCTAGGGGGAAGATAGGCACTCAGCCAGGAAGCCTGCAGTGAACACGCCGGATGAGGGTGGTGGATGCTGAAGAGAATGTAGAAAAGTGACTTGACAGAGACTGGGGTGCTGGGGAGGGGCCTGTGTCAGATGGGGTGGACAGGGAAGACCCCCTCTGAGGTGAATGACAAGAAGCAGCCAACCAAGTAACAGTTTGGTTGGGCAGAAGAAGAACAGGAAGTGCAAAGGTCCTGGGGTGGGAACCATTTGGCCAATTTAGGGGACCCACCATGGTGGAACTTGGAATGTGATAAAATGGTTCAGAAGAGACCAGGAGCTGGTTGTGTTGGCCACAGAAAGGAGCTTTAGGTTTTTTGTTTTGTTGTTGTTGTTTTTATTGGAGTATAGTTGTAATGGCAATCCACTCCAGTATTCTTGCCTAGAGAATTCCATGAACAGAGGGCTACAGTCCACGAAATTGCAGAATCAGACACAACTGAGTGATTAACACACGTAGTTGCTTTACAATGTCATATCAATTTCTGCTCTACAGCAAAGTGAATCAGCTATTTGTATACATATAACCCCTCCTTTTTGGATTTCCTTCCCATCTAGGTCCCCACAGAGCACTGAACAGAGTTCCCTGAGCTATACAGTAGGTTCTCATTAGTTATCTATTGTATACACAGTATCAATAATGTATATGTGTCAATCCCAACCTCCCAATTCATCCCACCCCGACCAAGGAGCTCTAGTTCTATAGCAAATGTAACAGGAAGACTCCGGGATGCCTTAATCAAGGGAATGACTAGGTCTGATTCACTATTTGAAAAGATCAGTGTGGTGATTCTGATAACTGAACAACTTGGTTATGTAAGAGAAAGTCCTTGTTCTTTGGAAAGCCACTTAAGTATTTAGGAATGAGGGGGCAAGATTTCTCCAATTCACTCTCGAGAGTTCAGAGAGAAGGTAGATAATTGCAGGGGTGGATGATTCAGTGGATGGAAAGATGGATGGATGGCTAGGTAGGTAGATAGATACATGGATAAGCATTTGAAGGATCGGGGTAAAAAAATATATGGGAAGTTTTTGCCCTAATACTATACCTTTTCTCTAAGTTTGAAAGTGTATAAAAATTAAAAGTTAAAAAAATCATCGTAAATATTGTATACAGGAGGAATAGTAGGATAAGCAAGGCAGGAAATAAGGAAGTTGTTGATATAGCAGGTTTGGACTTTGTTGTATCCCTCTGTACCATGTTTCCTGAAATGTTTTACTTTACATAGGTATTTCTTGAAAAGGAAGCTCTGGGAAGTCCCCTGGTGGTCCTGTGGTCAGGATTCGGCGCTTTCATCGCCATGGCCCAGGTTCAGTCTGTGGTTGGGGAACTGAGATCCCACAGGCCACATGGCACAGCAAAAAGGAGCTATGTGGTTGAATAATTCTGAGAAGCCCGCAGTTAAACAAAGCAGTTTCATTAGAGGCAGGCAAAGGAAAGACCAAAAGAATAAAAATGTATCGCCTACTAATATTTCTTTGTTTTTATTTATTTATGTGTGTGTTTTTTGGCAGCGCTGAGTCTTCGCTGCTTTTCCCAGGCTTTCTTTAGTCGTGACGAGCTGGGGCTGCTCTTTGTTCAGTGTGAAGACTTCTCTTGGTGGTGGCTTCTCTTGTTGCAGAGCACAGGGTCTAGGCACACAGGCTTCAGTAGTTGCAGCACACAGGCTTGGTAGTTGCGGTTTGCAGGCTCTAGAGCACAGGCTCAGTCAACTAGTGTTTGTTTCCTTTTGGTGTATTGGTGGTGCTGCACAGTACATGGGATCTTAGTTCCATGGGGGCAAACCCATATCCCCTGCACTGGAAGCGTGGAGTCTTAACAACGCTTCCGGACCACAGGGAAGTCCCGTGCCAAATAATATTTATCAGTTCGGTTCAGTTCAGTCACTCAGTCGTGTCTGGCTCTTTGCGACCCCATGGTCTGCAGCACTCCAGACTTCCCTGTCCATCACCAACTCCCGGAGACTGCTCATGTCCATCAAGTCGGTGGTGCTATCCAACCACCTCATCCTCTGTAGTCCCCTTCTCCTCCTACCTTCCATCTTTCCCAGCATCAGGGTCTTTTCCAATGAGTCAGTTCTTTGCATCAGGTGGCCAAAGTATTGGAGTTTCAGCTTAGCACTAGTCCTTCCAATGAATATTCAGGACTGATTTCCTTTAAGATGGACTGGTTTAATCTCCTTACAGTCCAGGGAACTTTCAAGAGTCTTTTCTAACACCACAGTTCAAAAGCATCAATTCTTTGGTGCTAAGCTTTCTTTATAGTCCAATTCTCACATCCATATATGACTGCTGGAAAAACCATAGCTTTGACTAGGTGGACCTTTGTCTCAAAGTAATGTCTCCGCTTTTTAATATGCTGTCTAGGTTGGTTATAGCTTTTCTTCCAAGGAGCAAGCATCTTTTAATTTCATGGCTTCAGTCACCATCTGCAGTGATTTTGGAGCCTAAGAAAATAAAAGAAAGTTTCCACTGTTGCCCCATCTGTTTGCCATGAAGTGATGGGACCAGATGCCATGATCTTAGTTTGTTGAATGTTGAGTTTTAAGCTAGCTTTTTACTCTCCTCTTTCACTTTCATCAAGAGACTATTTAGTTCCTCTTTACTTTCTGCCATAAGGGTGGTGTCATCTGCGTATCTGAGGTGATTGATATTCCTCCTGGAAATCTTGATTCCAGCTTGTGCTTCATCCAGCCTGGCATTTCACATGATGTACTCTGCATATAAGTTAAATAAGCAGGGTGACAATATACAGCCTTGATGTACTCCTCTCCCGATTTGGAACCAGTCTATTGTTCCATGTCCAGTTCTAACTGTGGCTTCTTGACCTGTGTACAGATTTACCAGGAACTCTGCTTAGTGTATCCCAAGCATAATTTCAATTAGTGTTCACAGCAAGCCTGTGAGTTAGGGTAACATCCCCAAGATGATCTAAGGGTCAGAGAGGTCAAGTAGCTGCTCAGAGTCCCTGAGCTGGTGGTGGCAACCTTGAGATGTGATGTCAGACAGATTGACATCAGAGCCTGAGCTTTTCGTTATCACACCACCTTGAGACTTGAAAAGTTTGGAAGTATGAGATGTACTCTGAAACAAAACAAAACAAAATCTTTTTTTTAAATTTAACTATGCCGGGTTTGCAGCATGAGGGATCTTTAATTGAAACGTGCAAACTCTTAATTGCAGTATGTGGGATCTAGTTCCCTGACCAGGGATCCATCCCAGGCCCCTTGCATTGGGAACACAGAGTCTTAGCTAATGGACTACCAGGGAAGTCCCCCAATGATCTTATTCGTTAAATTCATTCAATGTGACATCATTAAGAGAGCAGCAAAGTAAAAATGTCCTTAGAAAGTCCTATCCGAAAGGACTGAATTCTGCCAACAGGAATTTAATTGTCTTCCTTCTACTGAGGTTGGAACCACGTTAATGGAAAGACCTGCCTTCATCTCATTTAATAAGTGCTCCAGACACAGTTAATTAAAAAGAGGAACTGCTAGACTGCCAATGCCGTAAGCAGCTTGCAAGTGAATAAAGCAACACATGTTGGTTCCAGTTTTGAATTCCCAGAGAACAACAGATGGGCACTTCCCATCTGGTGCAGGCTGATAGACAGATAGCAGGATTCTGTTTAGTCTCTAGTGTTATATATTCTGGAGAAACCAGCATGTCAACTGAGGTGTTCTCTTAGCAACTGCATCAATTTGGAAGCCCAAGCTCATACTAAGGATAGTTTTTAACTGAAGGCAGCTATGGTAGACTGTTTCCAAAGATGGACACAACAGCGTTTCCCATCCGGCACTCCTTTTGTAGTGAGACTTTGCCACTTCTCTCATCAGAGTACAAGTAGAGTCTGTTTTCCCTTTCCTTGAACCTAGATGGCCCTGTGACTTGCTTGGACCAGTTTAATGTGATGGAGGTGATGCTGTTTGGCTTCCAAGGTTAAGACTCTCAAAGGCCTAGCAGCTTCCATGTTTGTGCTCTCAGACTGCTGCCTTGAGACTGCTATGCTATGAGGAAGCTCAAGGTAGTCACGTGGAGAGGTCACATGAAGAAGAATCGAGGGGTCCCCTATGACAGCTTCAGCTGATCCACCAACTGAACACAGCCGCTTGAGAACCCCAAATTGGACCGTCAGGAGAGCCACCAAATCAACCATAAGAGATAGAGCCATCTGGGAATTCCTTGGCGGTTTCAGTGGTTTGAATTTCACAGTCTCACTGCCAAAGGCCTGGGTTTAATCCCTGGTTGGAGAACTGATATCCTACAAGCTGTGCAGAGCAGCCAGGAAAAAAAAAAAAATAGAGCGATCATGAGAAGTCATAAATCATTGGTTTTTGTTTGTTTTCTTTCTTTCTTTCCTTTTTTACTTTTGGCTACACCCTGTGTCATGGGATTGAACCCACTGGACTGCCAAGGGAGTCCCCCATCATTGTTGTATACTAAGTTTTAGGGTGTTTTGTAGCTGTAGGTAGTGGAGAAAGGTAATTTTTGGATCAAGCTGATGGTATGGTTGGTTTTGGCTCTTTCTGGCCTGTAGACAGCTGCCACATTGCTGTGTCCTCAGCTGGTGGGGAGAATGAGAAAGAGAGAAAGCTGTACCTCCTTTTGAAAGGGCACTAATCCGTCATGAGGGCCCACCCTCATAACCTCATGTAAACCTAATTGACTTCCAAAGGCCCTATCTCCAAATACTGTAATACTAGGGGTTAACCCCTAACTAGGGGTTAGGGCTTCAACATACAAATTCTTTAAAAAATTTTTATTTATTTATTTATTTATTTTTTTGACTGTGTTAGGTGTTAGTTTCAGCATGTGGATTCCTTTAGTTGTGGCATACAAGCTCTCAGTTGCAGCATGTGAGATCTAGTTCCCTGACCAGGAATTGAACCCAGGCCCCCTGTACTGGGAGCTCAGAGTCTTAGCCACTGGGCTACCAGGGAAGTCCCAACATATGAATTCTGGGAGGACATAATTCAGTCTATGGTAAGGGGGAAATTTATGCCTGTACCATAGGCATAAATTTACCAGTTGGTACAGACAACAAAATACCTAAGTGGATCTAATGAGCTTACTGGGTCAGACATTGAAAAACTTCATCACAGTCAGGCTTCTTTTGGTTGCAAGTGACAGAGATCCTATTCAAACCAGCCAAAGTACAAAAGGAGATTTTGTCGGTTCACATAGCTGGGAAGGATCCTACAATTGCTCTCAGAAATAAAGGAATAAACTGCATCTAAGATTTCAGGGTTGGAATCAGGGACCGCAGAACTGATTCTTTCTTTGATTCTTTTTCTTTGTTGGCCTCCTTATCTTGTATTAAAGACAATCCTTTTCTGAATCTTAGGGAGCATGACTGCTGGCAGTCCCAGTTGAGCAAGTGAGAGAGAACAGCCTTCTTCCAAGTTCTGTACATCAAGTCCAGGGAAATACTCTGGCCCTTTTTGGGTCATTTGACCTCGGTGTCTTATTGATTAACATCAATCTAGCTCTTCATACCACCTGACTTACTGTATATTTTTACATTTTTACTTCTTTATTTGTTCATTGACTGTTTTCTTCTCAATGGAATGTAAATTGCATGAGAGAAGATATTTTATCTGTTTTGTTCATTGCTATGTCTATATACCTTGGTAGACTATGTAGCTTAATAATATTTGTTAAATGAATGAATTCCATGTATTATCTCACTTAATCCCTCAATCCTAGAAGGCAGGTACTTTTATGATCCTTTTATTACCAATTAGGAAATCAAGGCTTAAGTTAAAGCAGCCGTCCCCAGCCTTTTTGGCATCAGGGACCAGTTTCACGGAAGACAATTTTTCCACAGACCAGGGTAGAGCGGGGGATGGTTTCAGGATGATTCAAGAGCTTTACACTTTTGTGCACTTTATTTCTAATCTAATTCCACTGCTGATCTGACAGGAGGTACCAGTTGGTGGCCTGAAGGATGGGGAGCCCTGAGTTAGAGAATTTACACATGATCATGTTTCTAGAAAATAGAGAAGCTTGAAGTACCAGTCATGGTAATTAGATAAGAGAAATAAAGAAGAGGTATCAACATTGGAAAAGAGGAAGGAAGATTCCAGAGATCTAGGTCAGAATGTCTAACTCTAGAGCTTTCAGTGATATTATTAATATAATAATAATTATGAAAAAAAAATATGAAGAAACTTCACTTTCAGTGCCCACTTCGGCAGCACATATACTGCAATTGGAACAAAACAGAGATTAGCATGGCCCCTGCATAAGGATGACATGCAATTTCATGAAGCATTCCATATTTTTTAATAACAATGAATATGTAAATAAATAAACTGTAAAAAAAAAAAAAGAACCTTCACTTTCAAAGCTGCACAGATAAGAGATCTGCAATAAAACAACCCACTTATTTATCTCATTTTTCCCAGTGGCCTGATTCCACCAAGAGAAGGCCCAGGAGGAAGAAGAGAGAAAGAGACTCTTGTTCCCATAGGCAGCAATGCCAGTAGCAACAAGGAGGAGAAGACAATCATAAGGAAACTGTAAGTTGACTTGCTGCCCCACGTTGCCACTAAATAATTGCTAAAGAAAGGAGTTGGGGTGAGAGGGGGAGGCCCTGCTCTCCTGGTGGTGGTCCTGCAGCTGATATGAAAACTCTATGCCGGTGTATTATGGTATCTTCTAGGCAGTAGTGTAAGCACCTGACATTATTAATTCATTGACTCATCACAGCGACCCTATGAGGTAGATACTGTTATTATCCTTGACTTACAGATGGGGAAATAAATTCCAGGGGGTAAAGCTCTGTACCCAAGGTCACACACATTGTAAGTAGTGAAGTCAGTATTTGAACCCAAGGAAGTCCAAGTTCTACACTCTACTGCCTCCCTGTGATACAATAACAATGCCAGATAATAATAATAATAATAATAAACAATAAGAAAAACAATAACAATAATTATTGGAGTTTATGGGGGATAAATCATCACCTCTTTTACCTCCAACTCTGGAGGGTCCCTTGTCTCCCAACATTAGGACACATAAGACAGTTTCCTTCGAACACTCCCCTTGTTTTCATGCACCTTTGTTCATTCCTAGTTTCTTTGGTTGCTGCACCTCAAACCATAGAGTGTGAGATGATTAGTTAAAGTTCAGATTCTCAGAAATCAAGTTGCTGGTTCAAGGATGAGTCCCAGAAATCTGGATTTTTTTTTTTTCTATTTTATTTTATTTATTTATTTTTTTTAATTTTATTTATTTATTTTTTTAGAAATCTGGATTTTTAATGAATGCCCAGACAACTGAATGTGGGGAACCTTCGGACAACAGCCTGAGATATACCTTTTCTTCTTTTTTTTAAAAGTATTTATTTATATATTTGGCTGTGCCGGGTCTCAGTTGCAGCACATAGGATCCTCGATCTTCGATGTGACATGTGGGATCCCTTAGTTGTGTGATGCAAACTCTTACTTGTGGCAGGTGGGATCTAGTTCCCCAACCAGGGATTGAACCCAGACCCCCGGCATTGGGAGCACAGAGTCTTAGCCACTGAACCACCAGGGAAGTCCCCAGATATGCCTTTTCTGACTCCAGGTATGAATACAACTAGGCACACCTTAGTTTCTTCCATTTCTTAAACAAAGGAAAACAACAAAATTGGAAAAAGTAGAGATCTTTTCAAGAAAATTAGAGATACCAAGGGAGCATTTCTTGCAAAGATGGGCACAATAAAGGACGAAAATGGTATGGAACTAACAGAAGCAGAAAATATTAAGAAGAGGTGGTAAGAATACATAGAAGAACTATACAAAAAAGATCTTCATGACCCAGATAACCATGATGATGTGATCACTTACCCAGAGCCAGACATCCTATGTGAAGTGCAGTCAAGTGGGCCTTAGGAAGCATCACTATGAACAAAGCTACTGGAGGTGATAGAATTCCAGCTGAGCTATTTAAAATCCTAAAAGATGATGCTGTGAAAGTGCTGCACTCAGTATGCCAGCAAATTTGGAAAACTCAGCAGTGGCCACAGGACTGGACAAGGTCATTCCAATCCCAAAGAAAGGCAATGCCAAAAAATGTTCAGACTACTGCACAATTGTACTCATCTCACACACTAGCAAAGTAATACTCAAAATTCTCCAAGCTAGGCTTCAATAGTACATGAACAAAGAACTTCCAGATGTTCAAGCTTGATTTAGAAAAGACAGAGGAACCAAAGATCAAATTGCCGACATCTGTTGGATCATAGAAAAAGCAAGAGAATTCCAGAAAAATATCTACTTCTGCTTCGTGGACTATGCTAAAGCCTTTGACTGTGTGGATCACAACAAAATGTAAAAAACTCTTTAAAAGATGGGAATACCTACCTTACCTACCTCCTAAGAAACCTGTATGCAGGTCAAGAAGCATCAGTTAGAACTGAACATGGAACAATGAACTGGTTCCAAATTGGGAAAGGAGTACATCAAGGCTGTATGTTGTCACCCTGCTTATTAAACTTATATGCAGAATACATCATGCAAAATGCCAGACTGAATGAAGCACAAGCTGGAATCAAGATTGCCAGAAGAAATATCAATAACCTCAGATAAGCAGATGATACCACCCTTATGGCAGAAAGGAAAGAGGAACTAAAGAACCTTTTGATGAAAGTGAAAGAGGAGAGTAGAAAGCTGGCTTAAAACTCAACAATCAAAAAACTAAGATTATGGCATCTGGTCCCATCACTTCATGGCAAATAGACGGGGAAACAGTGGAAACAGTGACAAACTTTATGTTTTTAAGCTCCAAAATCACTGCAGATGGTAACTGCTGCCATGAAATTAAAAGACACTTGCTCCTTGGAAGAAAAACTATGACTAACCTATACAGTGTATTAAAAAGCAGAGACATTACTTTGCCACAAAGGTCATTCTAGTCAAAGCCATGGTTTTTCCAGTAGTCATGTATGGATGTGAGAGTTGGATCATAAAGAAGGCTGAGTGCCAAAGAATTGATGCTTTTGAACTGTGGTGTTGGAGACGACTCTTGAAAGTCCCTTGGACTGCAAGGAGATCATACCAGTCCATCCTAAAGGAAATCAGTCCTGAATATTCATTGGAAGGACTAGTGCTGAAGCTGAAGCTCCAATATTTTGGCCATGTGATGCAAACTGACTTATTGGAAAAGACCCTGATGCTGGGAAAGATGGAAGGTAGGAGAAGGGGATGACAGAGGATGAGATGGTTGGATGGCATCACTGACTAGATGGACATGAGTTTGAGCAGGCTCCTGGAGTTAGTGATGGACAGGGAAGCCTTGCATTCTCAGTCCATGGGGTCGCAAAGAACTGGACACGACTGAGCGACTGAACTGAGCTGAACTGAGGCACACCTTTCCTCCACTCCAGGCTGAAGCAAGCAGCCTGTTGGTCTTGGTTGCTTTGAAAATGTCTGGCCTGGTGACAGTTTACCAGCTCCTGGTCTTTTGGATTGAAAGTGAGAAACAGCCTTGGTCAAGGGCATCTAACTCGAAAGCCTACGGGGGCCAAGCACTTATTGTGGGTGTGTGAGGGGGGGTGTTGGGTAGGGTAGGGGACATTTGCTCCTCAGTTCTGTCTGGCCAATGAACAACTTGTTAACAGACCTTCTGATTCTTGAGAGATGCCAAGACATCAGATTTGTTCATGGAATCTGTTTTCCAAATGCTGGCAAATCATTTAAGCTTAAAAATAAAAACTGTGTGATCTGAATGAACCCACATTGTGGGTTGCAACAGGTCCTCAGCCTCCATCCAGCTCTTGCTTCATTAGTCTTGCCTCCCAGGGAGGGCTGAGGGGACCTCAACTTCCATTCATGTATTTGGTCATTAGTTAGTCAACAGACTCTCAGTGAGTCTATATTATATTGTGCGCCAGGCGAGATATTCACCCTGGGGGTACTGCCGTGACCAATTTTGTAAGGACTGTGTCAACTCCGGTTTTACAGGAAAGTAATTTTGAGGGGTCAGAGATTCTAGGTTACCTTCCAGGACAGGTTTAATTAAGATGCCTTTGTTTCAAGAGAGAAGAGAGATTTTTTGTTTTCTTTTTCTTTTTTTGGATCCTCAGGAACAGAGTGTTCCGTTAGTGATTCTCAGCTCATGGCACGATGAGCTTGTTGTCAGCACAAGCTTTCTTTCTTCTTGCTTTTATTTATTCCCTCTTTATCTCCATCCCCCATTCGCAATCTGCTTCCCAGCTCCCTTCCCCCTCAGCCCATCTCATATGTATTTAATGTGTTCTAAAAAGTATATATTGTCTTATGTGGATGTGTTTTCAATGGTAACTGATATTTTGTTTAACACTTCATTTTCATTCTGTTTCCTACTGCTTTTTTTCCCCTTCTTTTTACCAGGCACTCTTCTTTTTTAGGCTTTTTTTTTTTTTTTCTGCGCCATGTCTACGGGATCTTAGTTCCCAACTAGGGATCGAACCCCTGCCCCCTGCAGTGGAAGCTCAGAGTCCTAACCTCTGGACCGCCAGGGAATTCTTCAGGCACTTTTTAACAAAAATTTTAGTAATATGTTTTACTAATTAATGCTTCCAAAATACTGTCATTTTCAATGATAATAACTATAAAATATTGTTAATGAGATATTTTACAATCTTTTTTTAAAAATAGTAAGCCCTTAAAATCTTATGTATATTTCACACTGACAGCATATTTCCATCAAGACTTGTAGTGGCCGCTGTATTGCGCGGCACAGCTTTAAGCAATATATGGTCAAGTGCTTTGGGTTTTGAGAACTGAGTGTGAATGATCCTTTTCTTAAGTGTTTTTAAAAAATTATATCTAACATAAAATTTACCATTTTAATCATTTTTTAAAAAATTGAAGTTAGTTGATTTACAGTGTTGTGTTGTTTCAGGTGTATAGCAAACTGATTCAGTTATACGTATATATAATATATATCTTTTTAAATATCTTTTCTGTTATAGGTTATAACAAGTTATTGAATATTATTTCATGTGTGGTACAGTAGGTCTTTGTTGTTTAATTATTTTATATATAGTGTGTATCTGTTAATACTAAACTCCTAATTTATTCCTTCCCCGTACTTCCCCTTTGGTAACCATAATAGATTGTTTTCTATGTCTGTGAGACCATTTTAGTCATTTTTTTAAAAAATACTTTTTTATTTGGCTGCACCAGGTCTTAGTTGCGGGACATAGGATCCTTAGTTGAGGTACTCCTGATCCCTAGCCACAGCACTTGGAGTCTTTAGTCTCAGAATTCAAACTCCTAGTTTCGGCATGTGGGATTTTTTTTTTTTTGGCATGTGGGATCTAATTCCCCAACCACGGATTGAACCCAGGCCCCTGAATTGGGAGTGTGGAGTCCTAGCAACTGGACCAACAGAGAAGTCCCCATTTTTCAGGGGCATTATATATCAATATGTTTACAGGGACTTCCCTTGGCCGTCCAGTGGTTAAGACTCTGAACTTTCACTGCAGGGGGCGTGGGTTTGATCCCTGGTCCAGGAACTAAGATGCCACATGCTGGGTAGTGTGGCCAAAAAAAAGAAAAAAGGAAATTTATGATATTGTGCAGCCATCACCACAGTCTATTTCCAGAACTTTTTCATCATCCCATCCTGAAACTCTGTCCCCATTAAACACTAACTGCTCAGTTCCCCTCACCCAGCCCCTGGCAATCACCACTCCCCTCTCTGTCTTTATGAATCTGACTACTCTGGAGACCTCATATAAGAGGAGACATACAGTATTTGTCCTTCTGTGACAGGCTTATATGATTAGCATATTGTTCTCAGGTTCATCCATGTTGTACCACATGTCAGAATTTCTTTCATTTTTAAGGCCTGGTGATAGTCCATGGTATGTGTAGACCACTTTTGATTTATCTGTTCATCTCTTGATGGACATTAAGCAATTTTTTGTTTTGTTTTAATTTTTTTCTTTATTTGACTATGCATGCATTCGTGCTCAGTCGCTTCAGTCCTGTCCAACACTTTTCAACACTATGGACTGTAGCCCTGCCAGGCTCCTCTGTCCATGGGATTCTCCAGGCAAGAATACTGGAGTGGGTTGTCATGCCCTCCTCCAGGGGATCTTCCCAACTCAGCGGTCGAAACAGGGTCTCCTGTGTTGCAGGTGGATTCTTTACCATCTGAGCTACAAGGGAAGACCTTATTTGAATATACCGGGTCTTAATTGTGACCTTGCAGAATCTAGTTCCCTGACCGATAATCAAACCAGGCCCCCTGCATTGGGAGCTCAAAATCTTAGCCACTGGACCACCAGGGAAGTTCCTAAGCAGTTTTTTAAGATCTATCCACCTAGCAGCGTAGACAGTCTACCTCTTGTTTCTAACCCCAGTGATGGGATCCCAGGTTGCCTTCCCCCACTGCGGACAGTGTTGCAGTGAATATCTGCATGCTTATTCATGTCCTCTCATGGATTTGTGTGTGAATTTCCCAGGGATAGACATCCAGGAGGAAAATTGCAGGGCCACGGGGCCCTATCAGCCAGGGTTCTTGTTTATCAAGAAACCAAGCTTCACTCAAAAGGAGTGACTGAAAAGGTTTCAAGAAGGGACATTTTACAGATATGGGAACAGAGATAAGGGATGGAGAAGCACCCTGGGGCAGGCAACAGAGGAGCGAGGAGAGGGAGCTGTGAGGGGCCCTGGGGGAGTCAGACTGAAGTGTGGCCTTCAGAAGAGGAACACACAGTGACTAGTGAGACAAGGCCGGCAGGGACAGAGCCGGAGTGAATACCCCTACATTTCTGTCCTCCCACCCTCCCAGCTCCTGCTGGTGCTTCCCATTGGCTGAGCCCAGCCAGAAGCTAGAGGACAAGGGAGCTTGTTGAGGTCATCCACAGATGTCAGCCTCCTGGAGTTGAGAGCAGGCCAGAGAAGGGAGGACATGATTCTGCGGGGGCAGATAGCCCACAGAGCATGCATCTTCTTAGTTAAGTATTCCCAAGCTTGTGGGATCTTAGTTTCCTCACCTGGGATCAAATCCAGGCCCCCTGCAGTGGAAGTGTGGAGTCTTAACCACTGAACCACCAAGGATGTCTCTGCCAGGCTTTCTTTTCTCCTTTCTTTTCTTTCCTTATTTTTTGTTGCACTGGGTCTTCATTGCAGCCTTCGGGCTTTCTCTAGTTGTGGCCAGTTGCGGGCTACTAGTTGCGGGCTACTCTCTCATTGTGGTGCATGGGCTTCTCATTGTGATGACTTCCCTTGCTGGGGAGCACAGGCTCTGGGCACATGGGCTTCGGTATTTTGCAGCATGTGGGCTCAGTACTTGTGGCCCACAGGCTTAGTTGTTCGAAGGCATGTGGAATCTTCCCGGACCAGGATCAAACCTGTGTTCCCTGCGTTGGCAGGCAGATTCCTATTTACTGTACCACAGGGAGGTCCAGGTTTCTTGAATGACTGCATGAAAACAGCTTTGTCAGACAAGACCACTTGAAACCACATTTATTTATTCCTCCAACAAATATTTATTGAGGATCTACCATGCAGCAGGCACTGTGCTAGGTGATGGGGTAGAGTGAACAAGACAGAGTCCCTGTTCTCATGGTGCTTACATTCTAGTGGGAGAGGTAGAGAGTGAACTGGTCAAGACAATTTCAGATGGCCCTATATGCACTGAAGACCATTAAATAGGGTGCTAAGAGAGGTTGAGAGGGAGCTACTTTTTCATTTTTTTGGCCTCACCTCGAGGCATGGGGGACTTTAGTTCCCCCATCAGGGATTGAACCCGTCCTCCCTGCCATGGAAGCACTGTCTTAACCGCTGGGCCGCCAGGGAAGTCCCGATAAAGAGCTACTTTAGATTTGTTGAGTCCTGGAAGGCGCCTGTGAAAAGGCAGCATTCAAGCTGAGCCCTGAAAGACCATAATGATCTGAGTTTTCCCTGCCTTTCTGGCAGAAGGAACAGCGGGGATAAAGGTCAGAGGCTGGAGACAGCTTGTGCAGCAGAGACGATGGTGGCTGGAGCAGCAGAGAAGGGAGGTGAGGTTGGAGTGGGGAGTGATTGGGTCATTCTGGGCCACATGGATCCCAGTGATGACTTTGGGTTTCATTCTAAGTGCTTTGGAAAGACCTTGGAAGGTTTTAAGCTGGGGAATAACATGTCTGTATTCACCTATAAAAAGCTTAAGGACCTCTCTGGTGATCCAGGGGTTAAAACTCCGTGCTCCCAATGCAGTAGGCATGGATTCAATCCCTGGTCCAGAAACTAAGATCCCACATGCCACACGATGCAGCCGAGAATAAAAAATAAAATCTTTTTGAAAAAACAAAAAGTTTACTCTGACCACTTTGTGGAGAAGGGTTGATAGGACAGAGTCAAAGTGTTTCTTCTCCCTAGAAAGGGTCTCCTGTGGTAAGATAATGTATGAGACAGCATCTCCACCCTACAGAGGGTATCAGATCTGAAAGTGTTTATGTGGGATATTCACTGGCTGAGGATCACACTGGAAACAACACTTCCAAACGCATAAGCTCCTGGTTTCTTTCTGCCTCTTCTTGGGGAGTTCTTTGGGTCACATAATTGGAGTTTGAGCCTGATATGGCAAAAATGAAATGTATGTAAGCCAGCCTAAGGACATGGGCTTCCCAGGTGGCACTAGTAGTAAAGAATCCCTCCTGCCAATTCAGGAGATGGAAGACTTGGGTTCGATCCCTGAGTTGGGAAGACCCCCTGAAGGAGGGCATGGCAACCTGCTCCCTATTCTTGCCTGGAGAATCCCGTGGACAGAGCAGCCTGGCGGGCTACAGTCCACGGGGCCGCCAAGAGTCAGACACAACTGAGCGACTGAGCACACATTGAAGACACAGATTTGAAGATAGTGAGGCCGCGATTTCATGATCGGACAAGCTATGGGGTGAATGAATGAATGACTTCCTGAAGAATTAGGTCACGCTAAGAAGGGTTTTTATCTTTGTCCCGAGGACAATGGGGAGCCCTGGAAGGGTTTAAGCTGAGGAATGACTTAGCTCTGCACAGTGATGCAGTCATGCTGGCTGCTCTGTGAGTGGATTGTGAGGGCGGCGGGGGAGGGGGCGGACAGGAAGGCTGCGGTGCTCATCAGGTGGCTCGGCCTGGGGGTGGCAGTGCAGGAGATAAGTGGTGGGATTAGGAACATATTTGGGGCATGGTGACTAAAATACAACAGATGGGCTGACAGGAGAGGAATTGAGAACAACTCCCAGTTCCTGGCTTGAATGACTGGGTGGGGGGTGATGTCATTTCCTGAGGCAGGGAAGTGGGGGTTGGGAGGTGGTATACATAGGTTCAGGGGGAGGGCGGATGTGCCCTAACGCCTGTATCCACATGAGTCAAGGGCTCGCCCCTGCCGTTGCCAGCAAAGCTGCTAGCGCGGCTGGGACAGGGAGTTGTCTTTGACTAGAAGCAAGAGCCTGTATCCCCATCACTGACTTTTCAGCTCACTGGCCATCTTTGCATCTTTGCGACAACCTGACACTACTTTGTGGTCACCCCCATGTGTCAAGTGCATCAGGAGGACTGAAAGTTTGGTGCTCATGCCTCAGGGGATATCTTTATATGTTTTATCTGTTATTTCCAAGAATTTACATGTTAGTCATTCATTATTCCTTCTCAGGGAACACTGAGAAGTTATCGTTTCCTCTACAATAAAAACCACTTAAAATGAAAACAAAAACATTCCAGACTCCATTTGTCAGTCTAGCACAGTGGTTAAGTGGTCTTCTGGGCCCAACTCCCAGTTCCAAGACATAATTGTGTGACCTTGGGCCTGTTACTTAACCTCCCAGAACCTCAGTTTGCTCATCTGTAAAATGGGGATATTGACTATACTCAACCTCCTCATGTTGTTATGAGTGTGAAATGAACTAGTAGATGGAAAGCCCTGGAACAGTGCCTGTTGCATAATGAGCTCTTAAGAAATAAACTTTTGATTGAATGGCCTGCAGGAGCTGCTTACAGAATTTGCAGGGGTTTGTGCACCCTCCGCTTCAGAGCTCTCTCTGTTTCCTCTGACCGCCTCCTCTCTCTCTCCACCCAGATTCTCTTTCCGATCAGGGAAGCAGACGTAGACCTGAGGCCACGACTGCATTCTCAGACACAGAAGACAACCCACAAAGACAACTTCCACAATCATCTCTCAGTGCCATGCGTACCCACTGCACTTGCTTCTTCACTTCCCCTCAAAGCCGTTTGAGGAGGAAGGGGTGAGGCTTTCTCCCCGGCTGCAGAACTGAACACCCCTGAACGCTAGGCCAGGGCAGGAGAAGTGGCAAAAGAAATCGAGAAAGCAGAAGAAAAAAACAGTGGGGCCACCTGCAGCCCCACTTCAACCACCCAGGGGGCCCCAAACATGTAGATGTGGATGCCAGCTCTGCTTCCCTGGGCCCACGTCTTTACCATACAGCAGTGAAATATACCAGCCCAAGTGGGGATGGGGAGAGGATGCAGGAAAACCTGGTATGGACATTGCAATGATAACTTCACTGATATTTAGTGAATATCTGATTTTGCTCATATGATTTTCTATGTATAATTTTGTATTAAAGTAAAATAACTTTTACACTTTCTGTGTTTTAGAGTGGCCTCTTAAGAGTTATGTGACCTGGTGTAAGGTACTTCAGCCTTTTGGAGTCTTGGTTTCCAAATTTGTGAACTGTATACAGTTGACTCTTGACCAATTCAGTTTGAACTGCACAGGTCCACTGACATATGGATGTTTTTCTATAGTAAACACCGTGAAATTGAAAGTGAAAATCTCTTAGTCGTGTCCGACTCTTTGCGACTCCATGGACTATGCAGTCCATGGAATTCTCCAGGCCAGAATACTGGAGTGGGTAGCGTTTCCCTTCTCCAGGGGATCTTCCTGACCCAGGAATCAAACTGGGGGTCTCCTGCATTGCAGGCGGATTCTTTACCAACTGAGCTATCAGGGAAGCCCAGTAAACACCATAGTACTGCACAATCTGCATATGTAGAGATATGTATGGTATATATACATATCTCCATATATGAAATGGTTGAATCTAGTTGGATCTGCATATATGGAGGAGGAATCTTGAATCCAGAGGGCTGACTATAAGCTATAGATGGATTTTTTTTTAAAATTTTTATTTATTTTTCGGCCATACCACGTGGCACGGGAATCAGTGCTCTGACCAGGGATCAAACCCACACTCCTGCATTGGAAACTTGAAGTTTTAACCACTAGACCACCGGGACTATGGTGGTCTATAGTCCTATGCTTGGATTTTTTCAATGTGGGGAGACTGAGGGCCCGTAACTTCCTGCACTGTTCAAGGGCCAAATACACACGCACATGTATATTATAAATATATAACACATGTATACATGAATATATATGGGGGACATGTATTTCATTGTATCTAAGTGATGCACCATTGTTTTGCGTGTTGCTGTGACAGAAAAAAAAACGCTACAACTGATAACATCAAGATGCTATTGACTTTAAGACTCACCCTGATTTCAGCAATGTTAAAATGTGAAAAAGAAGTAAATTTAGGCATCGATGAAATACAGTCCATAGAGAGCAGGAGACTACACTTTGCAAAGAAACTAATGAGCCTGCTGAACATATCCAGTGAGCCTGTCTTCTCAGTGAGTAACACTGGCTTAGTGATCATTGTCTCGGTTCCTGCCTGGATTATCTCATTTATTTCTCTAACAACTTGAGGAGATGGAGACTAACTAATATTAATTGCCTAGTTTATGGATTTGGAAATGAAGACTCTGAGAGGTTGAAGTACCTTACATGAGATTGCATAGCTATGAAGTAACTGCCCAGGATGCTAATGCAGGCCTGATTCTAGATTCTTTCTTTTTCTTTTTCAATTATATGACTGCACTGGGTCTCAGCTGTGGCACACGAGATCTTTAGTTGCAGCATGCAAACTCTCAGTTGCAGCATGTGGGATCTAGTTCCCTGACCAGGGCTCAACACTGGCCCCCTGCATTGGGTGTATGGAGTCTTAGCCGCTGGACCACCAGGGAAGTCCCCTCAGGCCCAGGTTCTTAGCTGTGAAGCTCTACGTACCCTGATTCTCCAAAAAGTGATATATTAATAATGAGCACAATTTACTGCACTTACATATGTTGCCTCACCTTATCCCTGTGAGGTGGGCATTACTATTGTTATTCACCCAAGCAGCTGCTAGTATGGTGGGGCTTAGGGGCTTGTCCAAGGCCGCAGCTGGAAGTGACAGAAGTAGGACTTGATCTCAAGTGCAAAGGTCAAAACCACTCTGCCTCCCAGAAGAAGTTGGCGACCTTCAAGTGTCTGGTCCAGAATGTGATTGCAACAGCACAGGGGCTCTGACTCCTGGACCCCTGTATCATGGTGCTCCCCTGACCAGGTGCTCCCCTCTTAATAGCGGGGAGGGAGGAGGAGATTTCTGCCCCTTGGAGGCGAGAACTGACTTGGGAAACAAATCTAACTTCAAACAAAACTGACTTCAGAATCACAGATGCTGGGATGTGGGCGTTCGAATTCCAGAAGGTAAGTTCTTGGAGCTGGGCCCAGTGTGACCACATTCAAGACAGACACAGTTGCTCCCACACTGCAGGCTTCTATCTCCAAACCCTGAGCCAGGAGAGCAGGCTTAGAAGCAGTTGTCTGCCAGTCAGTCCGGGGCACTTGTAAATACTGAATGATAGAAACCACCCAAGGGACTTGCCTGGTGGCCCAGAGACTGGGACTCCACGTTCCCTGTGCAGGGGTCCCAGGTTTGAGCCCTGGTCGGGGAACTAGATCCTGCATGCCACAACTAAGACTCAGTGCAGCCAAATAAATATTTTTTAAAAACACCCCAAATTTTCATCTTAATAGCAGCTGATTCCTGAAGATTATCTTTGTGCAAATACTTTTATGTCTTAAACTCAGTCATTCCTCACAATCACCCTGATGCAAGCACCAGTATTGTCTCTGTGTCACAGGGGAGGATAGTGGTGCCCAGAGAGGTTAGGTTAACCCACCCAAGGTTACACAGCGGCTGAAATCTGAGGTTCGGTTCCAGGGCTGAGCACTTGGCTGCTAGGCCACAGTCCCCTCCATGGTGAGCTAGTAGTATATCTGAATCCTCAGGAAACCCCTGCAAGGCGGGTGGGCAGAGGCCGTTCCCAAAGTGGACAGATCTCAGAGGGTAAGTGATTTGTTCAGGGCAGTGGCTGACAGATGCTGAAAGCCTATGCCAGAATGGATCTTTCACCTGTAGACCAAGGACTCTGCTCTCAGTCCCAACCTGCCTCCAGTGGCTTGGGGCTGAAGGAACGCAGCCTCTTGGGGGCGGATTGTGGTGTGCGGGTTAGGGATCAGGATCTGGGGTACTTCTAGCACCAGACAGGCAAGGTTGATGACTCTAGAGACGCCTACCTGAGAATCAAGTCTAGCACATTAGAGACAATGACAACAGCTAAAGTATAAGCTACATGCTCGGTACTCTTCTAAGGGGGCCGTGCGCTTCACTTTAATCTCCACAAGCAACCCCTGACCCCTCATGGTAAAAATGAAGAGATTGTCCCCTAGGACAGTCAACAAAACTGGTTAAGTGGCCCTTTTGTAAAAGAAATGGGGGACATCCCTTGTGGTCCAATAGTTATCTACCTGCCAATTCAGGGGACACAGGTTCAATCCCCAGTCTGGGAAGATTCCACATACTGAGGAGTAATTAAGCCCATGCGCCACAACTACTGAGCCCAAGTGCCCTAGAGCCCGTTCTCCACAACAGAGAAGTCACTGCAATGAGAAGCCTGCGCACCACAACCAGAGTAGCCCCGCCTCATCGCAACTAGAGAAAGCCTGAGTACAGCAACAAAAACCCAATAGAACCAAAAATAAAAACAAACGAACAAAAATGGGAATCCCCTGGTGGTCCAGTGGCTAGGACTCCGTGCTTTGACAGCTGAGGGCTCAGGTTCGACCCCTGGTTGGGGAACTAAGATCCCACAAGCCACATGGTACGGCCCAAAAAAGAAACAAAAAATGCGTCACCGTTTTCTACCGCTGCCTTGTGGGAAAAAAAACAGAATGACACAGGTAGCCTCGCCTGGCAATAAATATTTTAATTTTTGTTTCATTTTTATGATGACATAATTTTCAAGTTTATTTCCTTTTCTTAAATACAAAGCTAAACCACAAACAGGTACAACCAAGACATTTTATCTCACATTTACACACTCCCATCGGATCCTCCTCCAATTTGCTGACCACTGACCAGGCAAGTGTGGGCTTGGTGGGTGTGGGTGGGGGTGGGAAGGGGAAGACTTCTTAGGTAGCACCGTCATGAGGCCGGGGCTGGGGGGCATTGAAGTTGAGGACAGGTTCTTAGGCCTGTCTCCATTCACATTTACCTGGGAGCGCAGGGGTGGGGTGGGGTTGCGCCAGAGACCCCAGATCACAGCTCTGGAGCCCCAGGCCCCTGAACTACAAGTTGACAGAAAGTGGGAGTTGGTTCCCCCCTTCAGGAAGAAGCTACCCGCTACTCCTGCTGTCACAGTCAGGGTGAAAACTTGACCCTCAGCCATGATCCCTGGGCCTGCCAGCTCCCCTGCCCCCTGGCAGCTAGGGTAGGGGCCCTGCCTTTTGGGGCTCGTAGGCTCGCTCTTTGGTTCATGGCTGCAGCTTTACAGGAAGGACACCAGGTGGTCTGACACATGGAAGCCTTGACAGCAGGTCTGGAACTTTCAACCCAAGCAGAATCAGGTTGGGGTTGAGGGGGTGGGGGATTGGGTAAGTAATTTCTGGTCCCACTACAAAACCTTAGATTTTTGATTAGAATAGTGTACCATCTCATATCTCTTCTACAGAAGCAAAACCAAGGGTGGAAAAAGAAAAAGCCGAACTAAAAACAACCCAAAACAAAAACGCAGCCACTTCACTCACTTCAAGACCTATATACATGTAAGTTGTCTTCTGTGGTTTTTTTTTTTGTCTTTTGTTTTTTTTTTAATTTTTATTATTATTTTTTAAAATAAATTCAGTGTTCACATTTCTATAAAGAAACTAACCCAGTTTCGGAAAACCCTGCCCCTGCAAGGGCTAGGTAAGCAATGCTTGTCCCTGCCCACGTCTCCTTTGATTCCCCGCCCTGATGCTTTAAGGTGCCCGGAAAAGCGGCAGCTTGTGGAAGAGTAAATTGACGCCTGGCCCGTGAGCCACCGGGTCAGTAAGCTTTCGAGAAAGCAGAGGGGAAGACTATCTTATTGTGAAACCTTTTTTTAAAAAATATTCATACACTTCAATATGCGCCTGTCGAGATGTCAGGAAAAACAAGAGCTTGGGAACATCCCATCCAGGCCATGGGGGAGGCATTGTCTTCCTCGAGCCCACCTGGCACTGGGATGTTAGGTTGGGGGGGGTGGGGCAGGTATGTGGGGAGCGGGGGAAGAGAGTCCTGGCTCTTCATCTGGAGGCAGGTGCGTCGCCCGGCTTCCTAGTTCATGTTCGACTCTTTCCTCTAAAACCTGTGCTGAGTCTTGGACTGCATGCACGGGAAGCACAAACGTTCGACTTGTATGCAAAAAAGGTACAAAAACAACTAGAATATAAAAGTTTTGGTAATATAAGGCCATCTGTTCAAGTCCACCTTGGAAACCTGTAACAGATATTTAAATACTACAGTGAAAAGGCATCTTAATATACTTTTTTCTTAAAAACATCTGAAGTAATCTGCTAAGATTAAGTGTGTAAAAAAAAAAAGAAATCAATTCCCTTTGAGGGCACTTTGTCCTTAGAAGAGGGGAGGGGAGGGGGCGGGGCCGTTGGGTTAATGCTTCAGCCAGGGGTAGGCTTCGATGGAAGCCCGGCTGCGGTCCCCATAGTCATACAGAAGCTCCTCCCCGGCCTCGATGTCACGGGAGGCGATGAGGATGAGGTGAGGCACGCCGTCGATGTCGTGCAGTTTGGTTTGGCAGTTCCCACATTTACTGTGATTGATCAGTCTTCCCAGGCGATTCGTCTCTCGGGTTGCATCCACGCTGGTGGGGAGGGAGGGCGACAGAGGATTAAATTGATGAGGCTTTTGAACCCAGTCTGAGTCAGGCTTGCTCTCAGCTCTGGTGGGATGATGGTGATTTATGGCAGTGTTTATGGGAAAGCAATTCAACTCAAAATATATATATGTAACTTTAAGAGCCCAGTGGGGCGCTGGGTGTGGGGTATTTGGGTGGGGAAGTGTACATGGGAATGCAAAAGACTCTGTAGATGCACCAGAGATGACTGGGGAGTTCTGCATAATAAATAAATGAATAAAAATCAACTCTGTTGGTGAGGGTGGGGGAGAGGCTGTGCAGGGTCGTGGGGGCAGGTGGGATATATGGGAACCCTCTCTGCTTTCCACTCAGTTTTGCTGGGAATGTTAAAAAAGTACAGTCTATTAAAAAATAAGGTAAAACAACGATCACTGATATTGTTGCACAGGGAACAGAGAAATCAGTAATCCCCAGAGCTGCTCTGGTCACGTGCCCCAGGGGGAAGGCCAGATGAGCCCCTCTGCAGGCTTGCACATGACTGGTCCACCACTTGGTGGCCGAGATTGCCTCCAGAACTGCTTCAATCCCCAGAATTAAAAATGGAAGTGGTGTGTGTGTGTGTAAGTGGTGTGTGTGTGTGTGTGTGTGTGTGTGTGTGTGTGTGTGTGTGTGTGTGTGTGTGTGTGTGTGTGTGTGTGTGTGTGTGTGTGTGTGTGTGTGTGGCGGCGGGGGGGGGGGGGGGTGCGGAATTGAGGGTAGGAAGAGCCGTACTACAGCTTTGAAAAATGGCAGCAAGAACCAAGCAAGCAGCTAGAGCCAAAAGAAGAGTCAGGATGCCCCCAGTGGCCCTCTGTTGCACCTCTGCCAGGGTGGGGAAGAGCCACTTGAAGCCCCAGGGGACTTACCAGTAGGTTTTGCTTAGATACTGAAAATAGTACATGTAGCAGCCCGTGGAGGGGTCTTGGGCGTACAGAGCCTCCCGCTTCTTGGCGTCGGTGATCTCGATGAGGTCCCCGTGGTATTCCACCACAAACTCACCCCGGGAGAACTGCTTGGTGGCAATGACGCCCCTGCCTTTGCCATCGATGAGGTCGATCTGTTGGGAGGTGCCGAGAGGGAGGGCTGGTTCATAAACAGCAACAAATGCCACCGTGTGTGGCCAGCAGCTTGCAATACATTCTTTGAACAGCCTTACTGCAGTAGCTCATAAAATCCACTCATTTCACACGCACAGTTTGAAGGGTATCATTCAGTATATTATTGTTTAGTCGCTAAGTCGTGTCCAACTCTTTTGCGACCTCATGGACTATAGCCCGCCAGGCTCTTCTGTCCATGGGATTTCCCAGGCAAGAATACTGGAGTGGGTAGCCATTTCCTACTCCAGGGGATCTTCCCGACCCAGGGATCAAACCTGTGTTTCCTGCACTGGCAGGCAGATTCTTTGCTACTGGGCCACTAGGGAAGCCCATTCAGCATACACAGTTGTGCAACCATCACCAGAGTCCACCACCCCAAAGAGCTCCCTTGTGTTCGTTTGCAAAGCACTGTTACGTGGACTCCTGAAAGATCTGCTAGGTGGGTGCTGCCCCATTTTGCAGGTGAGAAAACCTGCAAAATTAGGGATTAGACAGGCAGAGTCATGTGTCCCTAGCCGCCAAGCTAGGAAATGATGTAGCACAGACTCAAAGCCACATCCTGGCCTACTCTTTAGGGGAACAGTAGGACTCAACATTCTGAGTCTCTTCTTTATTCCATAATGTACACACCTGGGGTTCTCCTCACTCCATTTTATTTATTTGTTTTGACCTCCTCCTGCACTCCATTTTAAATGGAGATGGAGGGTGCCTGCTTGAGAGGCCCAGAACTAAATTCAGATTCCCCTCAGTGGTAGGTGGAAACTGAAGCTTCCCATCCCCCAGGTCCTAGCCCAGACCCATCTGGCCACCACTGAGACTTCCTCCCCTCTCAGGCTCCCACTACATCTGAAATACACTAAAAGAATAGGGGGCGGCGCTAGTGGTAAAGAACCCATCTGCCAATGCAGAAGACATGACACCTGGCTTTGATCTCTGGATCAGGAAGATTCCATAAAGGAGGAAATGGCAACCCACTCCAGTATTTTTGCCTGGAGAATGCCATGGACAGAGGAGCATGGTGGGCCACAGTCCACAGGATCGCGAAGAGTTGGACACGGCTGAAGCAACTGAGCACGCAAGAGAAAAAGCAAATCTTCCTGGCACTGCAATTTCCCAGGAAAATAGTACAGAAAAAACTAGCCTGTCCTTTTAAAAGTTTCCCCAAGTGTCATGCTAAATGAAAGAAGCCAGATACAACAGGCTACACATTCTATGACTCCACTTGTATGAAATGTCCAGAAGAGGCAAATCCACAGAGACAGAAAGCAGACTGGTTGTCAGGGGCTGAGGGCAGGGAACAGGAGTGGCTACTGGTGGGTCCGGGGTTTCCATTGGGAGGACTTTTAAAAGGGTTTTGGAACTAGATGGAGGGGACAGTTGCACAACTGTGAATGAAGAATGTACTTAATGCCATTGAATTGTACACTTAAAAGAACGGTTACGATGGTAAGTTACATATATGTGTATAAATTTCATTATGATTAAAAAGAAATATTTACTGGCTGTGTCAAATCTTAGTTGCAGCGCATGGGCTCAGAAGTTGTGGCACTTGGACTTAGCTGCCCTGTGGCAATGTGGGATCTTAGTTCCCTGACCAAGGATTGAACCCGAGTCCCCTGCACTGCCAGGAGGATTCTGAACCTGGACTGTGAGGGAAGTCTTTCATCATGCAAAGTTTCCTCAGGGGCCTCTGTGGTGGCACAGTGGGTAGGAATCCGCCTGCCAGTGCAAGAGACACAGGTTCAATCCCTGGTCTGGGAAGATCTCACAAAGGTGGAAAGGCAAACTAAGCAAACTAAGTCCATGCGCCGCGCCGCAACTCCTAAGCCTGTGCTCTAGAGCCCAGAAGCCTCAGCTACTGAAGCCTGCCTGCCCTGGAGCCCGTGCTCTGCAATGAGGAGCCCGAGCACCTCAACTAGAGCAGCCCCCTGCACACCGCAGCTAGAGAAAAGTCTGCGCAGCAACGAAGACCCAGCACAGCCATAAATAAATAAAAAGTTTCCATGGCATTGCATCTCATTACATTTCCTCCAGGAGGCATTCCCTTAAGGATACTTTTAGTGTTCAGTCCCTTGACAGCTTGCAACAGTCTGCCTGGTCACAGCGACATCAGAGGGTTAAGGCAGCGTGGCCCCTACATGGGCCTCTGGACCAGGGAGGGCGCGATCTCACAGCCTCAGCCTCTACCCGGTGGGCCCTGCAGCCCCTTACCTTCATTCCTTCTTCCTTCCCACTTTCAATCAACTCATCTATTCTCTTCCTTTCTTCAGACTGGGTGGGGAGGGAAAGAAAAAAAGAAAAAACAAGAAGTGCGTCAGCATTCTCAACCAAGGCCGCTCTGGGAGTCCCGGCTGCCACAGGGTCCACTCATAGTCAGCCTCCATGGCATCAGTCCCCAGGGATGTCCAGGCCACCAAGCCCCATCCGTTCCTCACTGCCTGTCTAAGGTGGGCCGTTCACCACCTGGGGTTCAGGTGGGCCAGGAGGGGGACGGGGCGGCTCGAGGGCAGAATGTGGCTTTGGGTTATGCTGTTTGACCCACACAGACTTTTACAAAACAACTAAATCGTGGACATCTAAAAATCAGGACTCCGACTGCATACAAAATTAGCCAGGGCTAAACTGATCAGAGGCTGCGCTGCTTGGACAGGGGGTGTGTACCCACCCATCGACCATGTCTACCCTCTGTTCATCTCCTGACTGAGAACAGCACCTGGACGTAGTGAGCCCTCGAGGCAACAGTGCCCCACCCCCACATGCACAGGCACAACCACCTTGTTAAATTAGTTACAAGTGTGCAGAAGTAGATGGGCGCAATCGTGGGAAAACTGGGATAGGTGGTGGGCAGTGGAGACGGACTTTCCTGCTGGGATGGAATGAGACAGAGGAGACGAGCTAGGGCCAGGCGAGACACCCTGAATGTGCAGACAAGGAGTCCATTTTACTCTGGGCGAGGTTTGGGGGCACGTGAGCAACTAGCTCCAAGCGTCCTAAAGAGGATTGCAGCAGTAGTCGGTCCGGGGGGACCAAGGGCCTGGAAAGGGAGCAAGGTGTGAACCAGGGTGAAGGCAGAAAGGACTCGAGACGTGCCCAGCCAGAGTCAGCAGGCTGCTCTGCATGCCAGGCCCGGGGCTGGGCTGGGCTGGGGATGACGCGGCCAGGGCACTGCCAACACTGCAGTCCCTGCCCAGTGCGGGCTGTCACCCCACCCACGGCTGAGCCAACCAGAGAAGGGGCTCCCACAGCAAAGCAACAAGGGGTTCAGGGCATCTCTCCAGGGCCCTATTTCCACCCTCTTGCCCTGGACTTGGACCTTGGACTGGGCCCCGCCTGCTCTGTCTTCAGTCACAAAGAGGTGTCTTCGGGGCTCTTAGTTTGTTTCACCCCAGCTACCCACACCCCCTCCTAATGCCCTGTCTACCTGGGCCTCAGCTTTGGCTGGCCCAGAAGGGCAGTCAGGTCGGGACCAGCCTCACCAAAGAGGCCTGGCTGCCCCGCCTTCGGGCCTCACCTCTGCCAGCCGAAGCCCCACCAGCCTGGCCGGCGTGCTCACTCGATAGAGCCAACACAAACGGTGGTGGGCAGAGCGTGGCTCTCCCTGGCCCCTGGCTCTCCGTCCAGCCACAGAGTGGGCCTGATTGCCTGCAGACCAAGCCTTGGGGAACCACTGCCAGCTGCCTTCCGCTTGCCTGCAGTAGAATTCAGCACTCTGGCAACACACCCACTGCAGCCTCACTCTTCCAGACAGAAAAGCCCCGGGTTTTTGTTTTCTTTAATTAAAAAAGGCCAACTCAGGCTTCCCCCACCCTGCAGCCCACAGCGGTGCTGGGTGGACCCCCAGGTTCGCTGTGTGGGCTCTGCGGCTGCCGACCACGGCTGGGCGGTGTCCCGGGTGCTGGGGGCTGGCACCGCCTCGCCCTCTGCAGTGCTGTCTCTAGGCTGACCTCGCACAGCCTCCCACTGCAGGCAGACAGCTTGTAACAGCTTGTTCTTGGCTGAAAGACACTGCCTTTCTAAGGAAATACAGCCAGAGCTTCTCTCTGGGGGGAGAAAAACGACACCCTCCCCCCTTTTTAAAAAATGAAGTCCTGACAATTCAAAGGAGGAGACACAGAGATGCTGCCTCACTGTCTGTACAGCTACAGATTCAACATGCAAATGACGAAGAGCCTGAGGGTTGAGAGGCCGGGGTTCCCCACCTCCCTGGTGGGGGCGGCAGTCCTGAGCGCTCCTCCCAAGCCTAGAAGTTGCTCTGATGCCCCTGGGTGGGAGGGGGGATGGAAGCAGCTGGGGGCTGCAGGGCTGGGCCACACCCTGGGTTTCCCTAACAGAAAGGCAATAACCACACCTCACTGCATCAAATATTGATCAACCGCGCACAGCTCAGCACTCTGCAAACGCGGCGGGCGGGGGCCTTGCAGCCCAGTCGGCCTCCCTGCCTGGTTTTCGCAGGTTCTCTGGCTGCGTGGGGAAGACCAGAGAGGAGCCCCGGGTAAAGACAACACGGGGGAAGCAATGGTGACAAGGGTTAACAGGTGCTCACTGCAGCCCCGGCACGGTTCTAAGTGTTCCATGCGCGTTCACTAACGTGCGTTACCCTCCCAACCACCGCACAGGGCTCGACTACATCATCCCATTTCACAGACGACACGGCAGAGAGGCACAGGGCAGTTAAGCCCTGAGGTCACACAACCAGAAAATAGTTCCCAAGCCAGTGCTCTTCATCATCTCGAGACATGAAACCTCTGGAGAGCAGACAAACACGCCTCTAAGAGAGCATGCAGCCCACCACACAGTCTCAGGCTCCGATGGCCCTGCCACAGCCCCTTTCCTTGGAGGTCCTGGCTTTCCATGCCCCACATTACAGGCGACAAGGCTCCTTCACAGAGGCATCTTATCCAAGCACCACAGTGACCCAAGGGAGTTATGACGACCGCCATTAGACCCAGGAGGACACTGGGGCCGCAGGGGCCAAGAGACTTTTCCCATGATGATGCAAAGACACTCAGGTGGTAGGCAGCGAACACAGACCACGGGGCCACCCTAACCCTTTGCAAACCGGGATTGAAACACGTGACCCCACCTGCAGCTCAGCCTTGCTCTTCCTGGAGCTCCTTCGCACAGGGTAGAAATCTGTGAGCTTGCGATTCTGCTGGGTTTTCCCTTGAGCTCTGGGGTGGGAAAGGAAGAGGAGGGACCAAGCGTTAGCGCTGAGACCATGTTCATAGCCAGGAGGCATGTGACCCTTTAGGAGCAGGCTCCTTGGAAATCGGGTCACTTAAAACACCTTTGTCCACTGCAGCCCGGGGTCACTTCGGCTCACCTGCCCATGGCAGCCTCAGAAAGAGTGCCAAAGGCAGGCTGCCTACTCTCAGCAGGGTGGGGGGCTCTGGACCAGAGGCAGGCCAGGATGCGGTCAAGTAATGGTATCCCTGGTGCTGTCTTGGGAATCTGAGCCTTAACAGCTCAAGGGCCTGAAAGGGTGGACGGCCTCCTCCCAGCTGGTACCCGGCAGGTCGCCCTGTGTGAGGAGTGGCTCCAAGAAGCACTTACTTTTTCCTGGGGGCCTGTTTGCCCCTGACAGGCTTTTTCAGGGCCTGCTTGGCAGCGGCTGCATTGGGAGTATCACAAGACGAGGTCGGGGTTTTGGGAGGTTCTGCAGCTTCAGATTTTTGGTTTGGAAAAGGTGCCAGGGGACCTCTCCTGGCGTCTTTGATCTTCTGTTCCTCGGCCTTCATGGAGCTTCGTATTGCATTCCCAGAGTTTCTTTTCTCTGTAAGCAGAGGGTGGGAAGAGACAGGCTGACTCTGGACCTGACATCTCCCACTTTTCCAGCCCTCGGCTGCTTGCTAAAACAGGCTCAGGGAGGAGATTTGGCGGGGGGGGAATTGGGGGGTGGGGATGTGTTGGGCAGTAGTGCCCCTGGACTATTAAGCCTGGTGTCCACTAACCAGTATCTTGGGGAAAAGATCTGGCTTTACTTTTTGACCCAGACACTAGGCAGAGCTTTTGGTCTCTGCATCTCTTTTTTTTCCCTCCCCCTTTTCCAGCTTTGTTGAGGTATGATTGATCAATACAATTATAAGATATCTGAAGTGTTAGACCACGATGAGTTGATAGATATATATTGTGATTGGATTCCACTCTTGTGATTAATCAACCCATCAGGTCGTCTGCATCTTGAGAGGAAAAGCCTCTGAAGCAGAAGTACCACAGCCAGCAACACTGACGTGAGGGCTCCATCAGTGGCTTTTGAGGAAATGGGCTCCGGGGGGAAAAGCTCAGTTCCTACAGAGGGGGGCAGCATTGCTGGGTGGAAGTAAGGCGATAAAGCTGAGCCTCTCCCCAACAAAGGCCTCTTCCCCAAGGGCTAGCTCCCTGGCATGATTCATTTCAGATTCTTTTTTTTTTTTAATTCCCTCTTCTAACAGCGTCGAAGCACAGCATTCACAGTGGTTCTCAGCATGGTGCCCCAATACCAGTTCAGTTTGTTGTGTGGGACATCGCCAATGACTTGTTACTAAAAATACTCATGGAGCACCAGTATTGAACTGTTTTTTTTTTTTCCCATAAAATTTTTTTACTTTTTAAAAATAAATAATACATTGCTGGTGAGAATGCAAAATGGTGCAATCACTTTGCAAAAGAGTTTCGCAGTCTTCAAAATGTTAGACATAGAGTTATCATCTGACTCAGCAGTTCTAGTTCTAGGCATTTATCAGGAGAATTAAAAACATATGTCTACATAAAAACCTATATATGAATGCCCGCAGAAGCTTATTCATAAGAGCTAAAAAGTAAAAACAACTCTAATGTCCATCAACTGACGAATGGGTAAGTAAAATGTGGTCTATCCACATGATGGAATATTATTCAGCCACAGAAAGGGATGAAGTACTGACACAGGCTACAACATGTATGAACCTTGAAAATATTATAAGATACAAGAGAACAGAGTACAAGAGACCAGACACAAAAGGCCACATATTTTATGACTCCATTTATATGAAATGTCCAGGGCAGGCAAATCCACAGATGGAAAACAGATAGTGATTGCCTAGGGCTGGGAGAAGGTAGAAATGGGGAATGACTGTGAATAGATACAGGATTTCTTTTTGGGGTGATGGAAATGTACTGGAGTTTGACAGAGGTGATGGCTGCACAAATCTGTGAGTATACTTAAAACCAGTGAATTGTGCCCTTTAAAATGGTGAACATCAGGATATCTGAATTACAGTTCAACAAGCTAAAGAGAAAAATAAATACATCAACAGCCATCCGGACCATTCTCCAGATGGTCTGGACACAGACAGACAGACAGAACTCCCTGACACAGTCTTGAGTGGAATAAGAGGGACTTAAGGCCAAAATGTCGGGCACAGCCTTAGGAGTAGGTGGTGTTCATGAACATTAGCTGTCACATGAGTCTGCGTCAAGGCAGGAAAAAGGTCGAGAATCACGGATACACGCCCAGTCTGTGGGGGTCTCCTCCAGTGTGCATCCAGCCCCCAATTTCGACTGTCACGATGTAGTAACACTTCGAGTCAAATAAGCTAACTTGTGCCCCATGTCACCATTCAGGACAGTCTACATCCCGCCCCATCCCAGAAGGGATGTGAGGCTGGCTCACGGCATCTAGAGAGGCCCTTCCCAAGTCTCCGTGTGGTTAGTGCTGGCCTCAGTGCAGTGGAAGCAGGGATGCAGGGAGGAGCAGGCTGTGGTGCTTCCAGTCCAGTGGAAAATGGGCTGACAGTACGGAGCACTCACAAAGTCCCCCTCCCTTTTCTTTTGGCTGTGCAAGAGGCTTGTAGGATCTTAGTTCCCCGACCAGGGATTGAACCTTCTCCCCTGGCAGTAAAAGCACAGAATCCTAACCACTGGACCACCAGGGAACTCGCTCACAAAGGCCTTTTGCACCCATGCTTTCACTGGTCTTCAGGCAGGACTCCTCTCTCCCACTGTACAGATGAAAAACTGAGGCTCAAAAAACCATAGCAACATGCCTGTGACCCTTCCTTTCATAAATGGCAGAGCTAGGATTAGAACCTGAGTCCATCTGAAATAACATCACCAAGGGGAATGAGGCTGAGGGCTGGCTCCTGCCCCTGGTTCTCAGATCTGGACCAGAGGTTGGGCTACCCCATCCCTTTAGGGCACTTTTTGTTAACAAATACAAAGCTTCCTCGTACAGAGCTGCTGGAGCAGCTGGTAGCCGCCGTTTCTTTAAGGCAAGTTTTAGAGCACAGTAACTGGGGAAAGTTCACCACCAGCCCCCATCCCCACCCCACCACCGCAACTTTAAAAGGGAATATTTGTGTTACAGCAAAATTTCCAACAGGTTTCAGCATGTTTTGCTGGGCCAGACAGACCTTTCAATAACCGTCTATTTTCTTGCTCAGCATTTTAACTCTAAATCTCATTCTGGAGTACACTGCTTCAGAGAGTAACACTGAACACTTGAGTGGAAAGAACTTTTAGAACTGAGGTCAAGGCCAGCTCATAAAAGAGAAGGAAGTCAGTTCCTTAGGTTCACACGACTCAGCTGCAGTACAAGTGCCTAGTCTGGACACCCCAGACTCATCATTTCTGTACTTTTAGCGCCTGTGAACCTCTCGAACGACATGCCAGCTGCCTTATTTTGGCAACTTGGCAAGAAAACCAAGCTTGAAGGACATGCTAACTCTTGTAAAAACAGGGAGAACCTGTTAGACCAACAGGGCACACGCCCTGGAACAGGCGGCTCTATTCCCCCCCGTGTCTAGCAGCAAGACAGGACATGATTCAAAGTTTTCAAACTTCGGCTTGAAAAGACTGGATAAGGAAACCTAGCATATATACATTATTACTGAGGATGCAACCCGGCCAGCAGTGGTTAGAAGAGGGCCATTTCAGAGGCTTACCGTCGCGTTTCCTGTAGATTCCGGCTAATGGCTTCCCCTGGCATTTGACTTCGTATTGTGCAACTGAGTTCTCTTCCTGAAGGGGGGAACGCATTCCAGAGCATTTGTTCGGGCTCATGTAGGTATAGATCTTTGATTGCCCGGTAAATACATTCTCCTAAAACGACAAATGCATATTCTGAAAGAGGCTTGAAGAAGAAGAAGATCTTACAACATTTAGACGGAGAAGGGGCAACCGAAATCCAAAAGACAAAAACATGGTTCAAAAAACTGGGTTACTAGGGGAAGCCTAGTAATGGAAGGTTTAGAATCCCCCAGGTCCAAGTTGGTCTCTAATTCCAGTCTGTTAAGGAGGGCAGGGGGGACATCTGGCCAGCGAGGAGAACCAGCTGTCCACAAAGATCCGCAGAAGGAGGCAACCTACCAGTTACAAGGAGGTTAGAGTGACCAGGGCAAACGAGGCCAGAATTGGAAGGGCTGGCCTCTGCGCAGCAGCTGACTGCTCTGGCAGGAGCTGCAGGAACTCCAGCACAGACAGGCCTCAGGGAACCTGAATAACCACTTCTTGGACCTGAGGTCAGCTGGTAGGACTTGCCATTACTGTCTGAGCCTTCTATGCGCCCAAGCCCCGCCCCTCTCAAATCGTGCAGTCCCAAGACTGCGGGAGTGGGCTGCGGCTGGGGAAATTCTCTCAGGCTAACTAGGCGGGTGCGGAGCTCAGGAGACCAACGCATTTAGGGCGGTTATTCTACTGCGGTGGGCAGGCCGGTGGGGCGGTATGGGTCACTGCTGGTGTCTCTGGGTGTGGGGCCTCTCCTCTGAGTAAGCACAGACGGGAGGAGGGCTTTCCCAGAAACACTGCTGGGCCTTTCTGCCTGGTGAGCCATTCACCAAGTCAGCGAAGACCTGTGACCTCCCCGAGGGCCCCGGGCAGGCCCCGCACACTCTGGGAAGGCGCAGCCGCCACCGGGATGGCCGGGTCTCGGGGTGTGGAAATGCCATAAAGACACAAACTTTTCCGAGGTCGGAGCTTGCCAGGGTCATGGCGGAGCGAGTGGGGACGCCACTCCCAGGCAGGCAGCAGAAAAGGAAGCTGCCCGGCCGGGCGCCCCGCCCGCACCCCCGCCCCAGGGCCGCGGGCGCGCCCACGTGCTCTCGGAGCTGGGCCCGCGGGGGCGCCCGGCCGCACGGCCCCTGGGGGCGCGCCGAGCGAGTGCGGGAAGGGTGCCTGCTTACCCCGTTGGTGCGGGGCCTCCCCGGGCCCCTCCGCTCCACCATCTCCGGGCCCGGGGCCGTCGCTGCCACCGCCGCCGCCGCCGCCGCCACCTCCACCGCGCGGGGCTTGGACATCTTCCTGCCTGGAGAGGGGGACCCGGGGGAAGCGGGGGAGGGGGCGCTCAGGGCGCGGCGGGGCGGGGAGCGGGGCCGCCCGGGCCGGGCGCCGCGGCGGCGCCTCCCGCCGCAGCCATGTTCCGAGGGCCCGGCGGCGGTGGGCCGGCCGGCCGGCCGGGCCGGGCCGGGCCGGGGCCCGCGTCGCCCTCCCGCCGCCCGGCCCGGCCGGGCCCCGCGCGCCGCCCGCCCCCCGCGCGGCCGGGCCCGCCACACCCACCTGCAGCCCAGCCAGGCCCATGGCGGCGCGCCCCTCGCCCTCGCCGCCGCGGCCCGGCCACCAGCGCTGCCGCTGCCGCTGCTGCTGCTGCTGCCGCCGCCACCAGCGCCGCCGCGGCGCCCCGGGGAAGGGCCGGCGGCGCCCCACGGCGCCCCCTTCCCCCATGGCCTGCGAGGCAGCGCCCGGCACCCGCGCGCCGCGGCAGCCCCGGCCGGCCCGGGACCGAGGACGCAGGGAGGGAGGCGCTGGCGGCGCGTCCTCCGCTGCCCGCCCGCTCGCCGCCGCCGCCGCCCACCGTCCGCTCCCGGCCGGGGAGGGGGCTGGCAGGGGCGGCGCTGAGAAGCTACTCCGGAGGGAGGGAGGGAGCGAAGGAGGGCGGGCCCACGGCCGCGACAAATCCCAACTCGGGCGCGCCCCCTCTCGCGCGTCCTCAGCCACTCGGGAAGGAAGGGGTGGGAAACATGATAATGACAGCCCGGGCTCTCGGCCGCCCGGGCTCCCACTCTCGCTGGCTCCACGGATATTTTGGGAGACCCGTCCGTGCCAGGCGCAGCGGGCAGCGGTGAACGAGAGCCCTCCTGTGTGCCTGAGCCTGTGCTCACGGAGCGTTTTCGTGGGCATTTAACCTTCCCGGCAAGCCCCTGGGAGCCAGGTCCTGAGGCTAACCCGTTTATGATGGGGATGCTGAGGCTCCAGGGAGATGCAGGGGCTTGTCCAGAGCCACAGAACTAGAAAGTGATCAGGTCAGATGTCAAGCCCAGGCGGGCTGCACCTGATCCGTACGGTCCCTGGGGAGATGGAGCCGGGAATTATAATAGCATGTTTGCTAGGCGCTTCTCTTGCATACCTTGTCATTCAAACCTCCCAGCAGCCCTTTGAAGGTGGAAACATTACTTTCACTTCCACAGACAGGGAAAACCACCTCAGAGAAGTGAGGAGCTTGGCCAAGTTCTCAGAACTAGAACTAGATTTCCAGGCCAACAGACCCCAGAGCCTACACTCCTAGCCACTAACTTACCAGTTATAGAAATAGGTAGGGAGGAGCTAATGGTGTTGCAGAAGGCTTATTAGCAGGTCACCCAAGTGTCCTGGCCCCCCATGAGAAATGTCCTAGGAGGCAGGGGTTCCAGGCACTGTGGTATCTCAGCGTAGATCACTGCCCTGAGCCACTGTGCTGTAGCCATTAGGGTTTGAGGGCTCACAGCCAACAAAGAGTCCCTGTATTTGTGCAAAGTCATAGATGCAAACAAGCACCTCAGAGCATCCATCCTTGGGTTATGGGAGACAAAGATTGGGTATCTCCCCCTGCATCTGCCCCAGAGGTGCTTTGTGACAAAGGCCAAGTCTCTTCCCCAGCCTGGGCTGCAGCATCCTCATGGATAAAAACCAAGATCAATGAATTCCACAACCTACTGAGGGCACCTTCCGACACCCACATAAACAAATGGCTGTCACTTTAAGTAGCTGCCTCCTCCTCCTCTTAGAAGGGATAAGACGGTGGATTAAATGGTAATGGTAAGACACTGCTCAGGACACAGCCTCCCAAATCAGCTCATGTTTTAGAATCCTTCACAGCACGGCTGGGCAAGTCCCTCCATCCCCACCCAACCACTAATTCCAGTAGGATAGGGTACTCTGCCCACTTGAATATCCAAGAGACTATGCAGAGACAGGATTCCCAAGGGACACTGGGACACCCAGGTTGAGCCATTTGAAACTGTCTGTTACCTCTGCAGGGCAGAGGTTTGTAGTTTGTTGCCAAACAATCAGGGGGATCTTGGTTTGGAGGCTAGAAACAGTTGCTCAAGTCACCTTGTCCATTTCTCATACTGTTTTCACTCCCCCACCCCACACACATACCCATGGCTACATCTTCCTCTATTTTAGCACACAGATGCAGAGGATACACTAAAATACAAGTCTAGCACCCATTCCTCTCAACTCTGCAGCTCCAGTAGCTAGAAAACGTAGTACAAGTCATTCAGTAAAGTTTTAGAACAGTTTCTTTTCTCTGTCGTGAGGTTCCTATGTGCATAACAAATACATATACCCAGTCACAGAAATAAAAACTCTTAATGGTGCCCAGGATCTCACAGAAATAGAATTCATCACCAGTGATACTAATCGCTAACATTCAGTGAATGTTTGAAAGTGTTAGTCACTCAGTCCTGTCTTACTCTTTGAGACCCCATGGACTATAGCCTGCCAGGCTCCTCTGTCCATGGGATTCTCCAGGCAAGAATACTGGAGTGGGTTGCCATTCGCTTCTCCAGGGGATCTTTCTGACCCAGGGATGTAGAAATTGAGGCTTCAGGAAGATAAATCACTTGCCTAAGGGTTATGTGACTAAGATACTGATAAATATGAAGATGCTTTAGCATAAAAAAATGTATACTGCTGTTCTCAAACTCAAGGCACTAAAATACTAATTCATTCATTTGACAAGCATTTATTCATTACCTACTGTGTTCCAGGCCCTTTGCTAAAGACACAACAATGAACACAGAGATAGGGCACAGTGAGGCCAGAGGGGTGGGAAGGCTGCTATAGGATACAGTGAGGACTGTGGATTTCCTCCTAAGAGCAAGAGGGTATGGTTAGAGATGGGAGTGGTGAGAAGCACATGACGAAAATCTGTGTTCTTGGGGACCACTCTAGCTCCATTGTGACTGGAGACAGTCACAGTGGAAAGAGGGAGGAGACCAAGTAGGAGGCCATCTGATAGATGGACAGATCTTACCCAAACGGATACGCTTGAGGCTGTATTTATATGATTGTAGAATTTCTAAACCAGAGAGGAGTTGCCAGATATCTGAACATTATGTTCATGTGACTTAGCAGGGCTCTCAAAGTGAGCTATAAGTAGCTACAAGCTGTGCACAAAGACTGCTTTTCTAGAAGAAAAAAACTGACCCTTCATTTGAAGTACTGTAAATAATTCGATATCTGATGATACTAAATGCCCAATTTAATGGTTTGCAAGAATAATGAAGCCTAAGAAATAAATAACTACAAATGTGGTGGGGGTCAGGTGACTCAGTGAGAATCACTGACCATACATTACAAAGGTGATTCATAAGCCTGTTATGCTAGAAGCTGGGAACTCTCCTCTTCACTTTGGCTAAATAAGAGAGGTAGGGGGGCCTTCCCCAGTGGCCCAGTAGTTAAGACTTTGCCCTCCAATGCAGGGGGTGGGGAGCTAGATCCCATGTGCCTCCAGGCCAAAAAACCAAAACATAAAACAGAAGCAACACTGTAACAAAGTCAATAAAGACTAAAAACAGTCCATGTCAAAAACAAATTTTTTTTAAATAAGGGAGGTAAAGTGGAACAAGCAAAGACACAGAATGGCTAGAGTATGTCCAGTGACTTTGGCCTTCAGCTTCCACCTCTGAAAAATGAAAATAACAGTTTGTAAAGATTAACTGACATAATAAAGTACCTGGCTCTGGGTGATAATTATTAACCGTTATTAAGTATTTATTTCAATGGCCAAGAGGTTCACTTTGTTTCCCCCTACAGATTAATTTAAGCAAACTATTTTTAAAATGTACTACTGTTAAAATAGGTAGTTTAAATGATTTTGGTGTGATGGGAAAAATTAAAGGGGCTTCCCTGGTGGCTCAGCCGGTTAAGAGTCTGCTTGCAATGCAGGAGACCAGGGTTCAATCCCTCGGTTGGGAAGATCCCCTGGAGAAGGAACTGGCAACCCACTCAAGTATTCTTTCCTGGAGAATTCCATGGACAGAGAAGCCAGGTGGGCTACAGTCCAAGGGGCCACAAAGAGTCAGACACAACTGAGTGACTTTCACTTTCATAGTTTTATTCAGATTTGTCAGATAAATTAGCCAGATATTATTAAATATACTTTTAGATGCTTAACACTTTCCTGAAGAATAATATTTGAGGCATCTTACTATTCTCTGTGGACTGGGTTATGAAGCTCTTTAACTTGAAGTTCACTATGCCTTATTTCTTAATCAAAACCTAGGTAAGTCTTGTACCCAAGACCCTAAAGGGATGCTACGAGAAGAAATGATGCAACTGGGTGCAGGGACTGAAAACAAAGAAGCCCAATAAATATTTGCTGAATGAATCCTTATTTTGTTCATTATGATCGCTATGGGGAGCCTGGGCTTCCCCAGTGGCTCAGACGGTAAAGATCTGCCTGCATGGTGCATTAGGCAAATTCCTACTAACGTGTAATACCTTGGGAATTTTGAGAAAAATGTAAAACCTCGACTTATTTCTTTTACATAATAATTCAAGTGGACCGTCACGCTCAAGTTTTTGCATGAAGGAGACACAGCGGCTGGAAACGACCAGCGGTTAGAGATCACTTTGCCGCATAACATGGGTCTGTCCTGACAGCAAACTAATTGTGCGAAGAACTTCAGGCAGAGACATCGACTCCCTCGCGGCTGCACAACCCCACCCAAGCCATCTCCCGTGGGCAGGAGCCCTGATCAGCTGCGGCGCCAAGGGCGCCCCGGGAGGTGCCAGGGGACCTGTCTTACCCCAAAGTGGGCCAGCAGGGCCCGCCCCCGCCCCGGCGGCGCAGAGCTGACTCAGGGCGTGGAAAGGGAAAGGAAGGCGCCTGCCGCGGTGTCCACTCGGACGCGCTCCCCACCAAGTAGGGTACCGATCTGTGCCCTCGCCTCGGGATCACCTCCTTTCCAAATCAGAGAGAGCCCGTAAGCAAGCGAAGCCTCGCCCTCCCCCTCTTTTGTATCAATGACAACCATTCCCTTGAGGTGCTAGGAGCTTTAGTTTCCAAACAGCTTTGACATATGGCCCCGTTGCCTCTCGAGAGGCAGGTCACCAAGTGCCCACACTTTAAAAAGGGGAAACCGAAGTACGGGAGTGGGAGGGGTTTCTGGGGGCTTCGGGAGCGAGGGTGGGTAAGAGGTGAGAAAGGTTCCGCAGCCCCTCCCCCCGCAACCTTACTAGTCCCCGCGCTCCTTCCGAGCAGCCGGCGGGAAAGCGCCTTCCCCCCGCCGCTCCCGCCACTTCGGTGTCGCCTGCAGTGCGACCCCCCAACCCAGCAGCCCCGGCGCTGGCCACCGGGGCCAATACCTCTAGCCATGGCCCTGCTCTGTCACCGCCTAGGATCTCCCGGGAAACGCAGCTTTCGAAAAAAGTTGCAACAACTGTAGCCAACTGCTCCGCAGGGTCCCGGCTGATGCCCTGATTGGCGCTGCTGCCCGTCTCTCTCCAGGCTGCCCGCCGTGATAGGCAAACTCTGGAGGGAAAGCCCGCCCTTTTCCCCGCCTCCCTGGCGGGGGCGGGGCGACCGGCCTCACTTTCTACAAACGCTTTCGGGACAGGTCTCAGCGGAGGAGGAGGGAGGGGAGTTTAAATTTTATCGTTTCTCCGAATTGATTGGCTGTCCTGGAAGGGGAGCTGCGCTGCCATTGGGGGGCTCCAAACTCCTCCCTCTGCCGGCGCTGAAGCTCCGCCCCGGGGAGATTTAGTCACGCGTCTGGCGGCCCAGGCTCAGAGTAGAACTATAGGGGACTTCCGGTTTTTATCGGGTTTGACCGGAACCCGACCTTTGACCCCTCGACCATCCCATGGGAAGCCTAGCCCCCAGCAGTTTAACACCCGAACCACCTTGACCTTTCCAGCAGTTTAATCCATTCATTCCTAGGTTGCAAGATTTACGAATTTGTTCTTCCGGTATTCAAAACCCACGGGCAGAGTTCTTACCAACTGACTTGAGTCAGCCTCCCGGAACCACAGCGATCCTAGCCCAACGTACCCCAACTGTTTTACAGATGGGGAAACGGGATCAGCAGGAACAGGTAACTCACTAGCTGCCCAACGTCACGGAACAGTTTATTTCTGGGTCCTGGATCAGTCTTTTGAGTCCTAGTCCACTAGAGGGCTTCCCTCACCGCAGGGAAACAGCCCTGTGCCTTTTCCCACCCAGAGGAGCCTCGGTCGGTTAAGTCCCTGAGAAGCACAGGTATCCTAGGTATTCTTTGCTTTGAACACAGATAAGGTGTTCAGTTACAGCTCTTCCCTGGGGATCCTTCCCGGAGATGGAGATAGGAGCAGTGGTCCATTCTCTCTCTTTGGTCCCCAAGAAGACTTTGGAATCCCCACCATTGCCCAAGGACCCTATCATTGCACCAGGAAAGTAGAAGAGCAAAACAAGATGATATATGTGAAAGCACTGGGAAAAGTAGGAAGCAACACTTGTCACTCACTGTGCTTTTTGGTATATCATTTCAGCTCTCTGGTCCTCAGCTTACCCAGCTGTCAAATGATGGAGTCATCTGTGATATACCAGATTCCTTCCAGCTTCCATAGATATACAGAGGTTTTTACTTTCACTAAGATGCATTAATTCAACATTTATTGAGCTGTTTATTGCCCCAAGGACACAGTGGCAAATAAGACAGATGCCTAAATTTTTTAGGAAATAAGAGACCACTTTTTAAAGGTAATATTAAGGGGCTTCTCTGGCAGTCCAGTGGTTTAGATTTTCACTCCCACTGCATGGGGCACAAGTTTGATCCGTGGTCAGGGAACTAAGATCCCGAATGCCATGGGGAGCAGCCAAAAAATATTTAAACAAATTTAAAAATAAAGATATTACTGAATACTGATTAATGGTGTGGGTAAAATGAAAATAGGGAATTTTACAGAGTGTGTGTGGGGAGATCGTTGGTTCTATAGATTGGTGAAGTTGAGAAATCCTCTCTGAGTTCGTGACTTTAGGTTGTACCCTAAATAAGTGAACCCCAAGGGAGAAGATACTTGCAAGTAGAAGAAATAGTGAAAGCAAATCCCCAGAAGTAGGGATCAGCTTTGGTTGTTTTAGGAAAGAAAAATAAACCCAATGTGGTTGGAATTGAGTATATCATGGGGAGAATGGATGGGGCTTCCCTGATAGCTCAGTTGGTAAAGAATCCACCTGCAATGCACGAGACCCCGGTTCGATTCCTGGGTCAAGAAGATCCTCTGGAGAAGGGAAAGGCTACCCAATCCAGTATTCTGGCCTGCAGAATTCCATGGACTGTAGTCCATGGGGTCGCAAAGAGTCAGACACAACTGAGCAACTTTTACTTTGGGGGAGAATGGAGCGGATCAGGCTGGGAAAGTAGGCAGGGGCTAGATCGAATAGGCCATTGAAGGCTGTGCTGGTTTCTTGGCTGCAGATGCACTCTTCTCTACCCTGCCCAGCAGTATCCATCCTGCAAACTGTATTGCACCTTTGTCAGCTAGTTTTAGGTTCTGTCCATAGGAGAGGAAACTGGAAGGCAGGGGGAGGGACTCACTCATGCATGCCGTTTTACTTGCTATTCCTATCATGGTAAGTAATGACATTTTGCTTCTGACAGGGCATTTGGTTCACTCTCCAGGTTCTTTCCAGAAATAGCCTCAGTGCGCTACCTCAGAAGTGCCAGCAGCAGCCCCTTTTCAGAGTTCTGAGCCCCAGCTTGGCAGGGCCCCTCCCCTGCCAAGGGGAGGCTCTTGAAGGGCCGGCACCAACATCATGGTGCCCATTTCTCAGAGGCATAAGAACCAGCCCTCCAGGAATCCTCTTCTGATTCTTCTTGCTCTGCTAACCCCAACTGTTCTCTTTGTTCTCCGGCCCTAGAAGTGGGACTTGCTTCCTGCTGTTATGATTAAATTACTTCAATGTTCCCTTTTTGCTTGTTCAATCCTCTGCCACCTGTTTAATGAATTGCCTATTTTAAAGTCTGTTTTCCTGACCAGACCCTGATGGACCCAAAAGCCATTAATAAGGACTGAGATTTTTATTGCAAATCTGGTAAGAAACCACTGCATGGTTTTATGTTTGTTTAATATTTATTTATTTGGCTATGTTGAGTCTTAGTTTCTGCCCACAGGATTTTCATTGCATCATGAGGGATCTTTTGTTGCTATGAACTGACTCTCAAGTTGTGGCCCTTGGGCTTAGTTGCTCTGCAACACATGGGATCTTAGTTCCCCGTCAGGGATGTGAACCTGCATCCTCTGCATTGCAAGGTAGGTTCTTAACTACTGGACCACCAGGGAAGTCTCCACTACATGATTTTAAGCCAAGGATAGATGGATAGATTTGTGAATCTAAACAGTAATTTTGCAAACAGTTACACAAACAGAAGGACTGCAAATAGCTACTTAAGTTACAGTAATCTGCATTGAGACCTGGAATCTTGAAATAACGTGACATGCTTCAGGAATGTCTATTTAATGATCTCCATTTTCCTAAGAGGGCCATCCCATGTGGGTGAAATCACTCCAGTGCTGAGATGATTTTTCCTTACTCTACTGTTATCTTTACATGAATGTTTGCTCCAGGTTTTTGCTCTTGTTAAATACTTTAAAAAATGTATTTATTCATTTATTTATTTTTTGGTTGCACTGGGTCTTTGCTGCTGTGCACAGGCTTTCTCTAACTGCAGTGAGCAGGAGCTTCTCTCTAATTGTGGTACACGGGCTTCTCATTGTGGTGGCTTCTCTTCTTGCGGAGCACGGGCTCTAGACTCCCAATCTCAGTAGCTGTGGCTCAGGCTTATTTGCCGCTCGGCATATGGAATCTTCCCAGATCAGGGATCAAACCTATGTACCCTGCATTGGTGGGCAGATTCTCAAGCACTGGACCACCAGAGAAGTCCTAAATACTTTTTCGTTGGCATGAGTTCTTACAAGGTTCTACCAAATAGGGTATGTATTCCACAGTCACAGCCACTGTAATGTACTAACTCCCTTCCATTCATCTGAGTGCTGGGAAAGATCAAGGGCAGGAGGAGTCGGTGGTGACAGAGAATGAGATGGTTGGATAGCATAACTGAATCAATGGACGTGAGTTTGAGCCAACTCGGAAATAGTGAAGGACAGGGAAGCCTGGCATGCTGCAGTTCATGGAGTTGCAGTCAGACATGCCTTAGCGACTGAACAACAAAATATATAATATACATATATTTTCCCATTATATGTGTGTGTATATATGTGTAAATATGTATGGATATGCACAGATATATAAAATATATAAAATTCCCCATATGTAAATATACACACATGTTAATATGTACTATATATATTTAGTACAAGTATATATGTACTTGTATATACAAGTATATATATATATACTTGGAACTCAAGCATGTAAGAGTAAAACAATACTCTCCCTACTTCATAGGTTTATTGATAGAATTAAATGAGAGAGGGGAATTTCTTGGATGTCCAATGGTTAGGACTCCACACTTTCACTGCTAAGAGTGCAGGTTCAGTCCCTGGTTGGGGAATTAAGATCCTGCAAGCTACAGTGAGGCCAAAAATAAAGAATTAAATGACAAAATAAAAATAAAATGTATGGGGATGTAGAAGTTTAGCAATTAACTTCTAAATAAAGTTACAAAATTGCATCTTAATGAGTTGCAATTTGGAGTTAGTAACACTTTCTTCGGTTTTCTAGAAGGGAGACCAAAACTTGAATGAACACAAAAATGGTATTGAGAGTAGAATGTGGCAAGGGTGTGCTCAGTGTCATTCGTGTCCGACTCCTTTGTGAGGAGCCAGGCAGGCTACAGTCCATGGGATTCTCCAGGCAAGGATGCTGGAGTGGGTTGCCATTTCCTCCTCCAGGGGATCTTCCCCACCCAGGGATTGAACCCGAGTCTCTGTGGCTCCTGCATTGGCAGGCTGATTTCTTTACCGCTAGGCCACCTGGGAAGCCCAAAATCTGGCATAGGATGAGAAATAGCCAATGGTGTAAAAAATTTGGCATAGGATGAAAAATAGTGAATGGCTTTGATGTTTGATGAGCCTTTTTTTTCATCTGTTATAAATAAATAGGCCTATTTTTTCTCCCTGTATCTTTTAAAATTATTAAAAAAATTTTTTTTGCCACCGCTGCATGCCATGTAGGATCTTAATTCCTCAACCAGGGATTGAACCAGCACCTCCTGAAGTGGAAGTGCAGAGTCTTACCCACTGGACAGCCAGGAAAGTCCGCCCCCCTGCCCACTGCCCTCCCCTTCTCCTGGTCCCCCCTTCCCCACTGCCACATCTGTCTTTAAGAAAAGGTATTACAAGCTAGTTGTTCAGTTGATTGGGAATTCCTTAGTT